ATGTAAAATATTCCCTTATCAATAAGATGGTTGTTCCAAAGTTTGGTCCCGATGTCAGTTATTGCTGGGTTGGACCACACACAGTGATCAATAGAACCCAAGGCTGCATTAGCCGAACTAATCTTCCACTCAGTGTAGCAATTAAGTACGTCCTGTGTAAAATAACAGTTGATGTTAGCGAGACCGTTTTCTACAGAGATGGTGATGTGCTCGGGAAATTTCAGTTGCATAATCATAATATCTTTCCAAGTGTGGTGAAAGGAATCATTTAGTAGCTTTGAAATAAGACTAGTTTTAAGACCTATAATAAAATCGGACAAATAAAATAGTCCCAGGCCTCCATGTTCCTTGTTTCGGGTTATGATTTCACGTTTTATTTTATACCGTTTGCAACCCCAAAGAAAATGGAATATAATCGTGTCAAAAGTTCTGATAAAGGAAGCATCTGGTCTGGGGAGAGGAGGAACCAGGTATGTTAATTGGGAAAAGAGGAGAGTTTTGATAACCGTACATTTACCCATTACCGTCAGATCCCTCTTGTTCCACCTGTTAATCCAAGACCGAACCTTAATCAATTTATCATTATAATTACTGTTGACTATATCCATAAGTGAGCCATCATTCCTATAAACTATACCCAAAGCCGTAAAGTTGTTTGTAATAAAATCATCGTCGTAGTTCATTTGAAGGGACGCTAGAAGAGTTGTATTAAGGCGAGCACGACCTAAAGGAATGCATCTAGTTTTGTCGATGTTAGCTTTACACCCCGAGCACTTAGCAAACGTTCTGAGTTCTACCATAACTGCCTCTACACTCTCTATTGAAGCTTTCAGAAACAGATCAGTGTCGTCTGCAAAGAGACTCTGTAGAATTTCCACACCCGATATGTTAATACCCCTGATATTAGGGTTGATCTGAAGTTTATTCGAGAATGTTTGAGCCACAAGTAGAAATAGAATAGGAGAGAGTGGGCTACCCTGATGAAGACCTCTGAGGAGATAAATAGGTGCGCTTAAAAACCCATTAATATTTGCATAGCTAAAGCACGCTTGAAAAGCCACTTTAATCAACTTAATAATATAATCACTGAAACCTAATTTTTCAAGCGTACTGAAGACAAAGTTATGTTCTACTGAGTCAAAACACTTTTCAAAATCAATCTGTAAAAGGAGACCCTCTTGTTCCGAGTCGTTGTTAAATGATTCCAGAACCATTGACATGAGAATAAGATTATCTGCTGTACTCCTGCCTGCTTGAAAGCCTGACTGGGTGTTGCTGATTATGCTAGGGATAGCCTTCATAATCCTATTCTTAGCTATATGTGTGAAGATTTTATAGTCAATGTTTAGCAGAGTAATAGGTCTCCAATTTTTTATGTAGTTAAGTTCCGCTGGGCTTTTAGGCTTGGGAATAAGAGTAAGAATACCTATTCTCTGCGAAGGCGACAGGCATCCACTGTCAATAGATTCTAAATAGCAGTCGTAAATGATCTGCCTGATATCCAACCAAAAGGTTTTATAAAATTTAGCAGATAACCCGTCCCAACCTGGGGATTTATTGTTTGTTAACTTGTTCACAATAGCATCCATTTCGTGTAACGAAATAGGTCCCTCCAGAGTTTCAGTAATTTCCTGTGGTAATAATTAAAATTTAAAAAAAAAAGAAAAAAAAAAAGAAAAAAAAGCTTCTTTTCCTAGGTGGCCCAAGAAAGGATAGCATGAAGATGCTCTGCCTGCCTCTGTGGTATCATGGCATCCCTGATGGATGCCGGAGTTAACTATGATTAGTTAGTGGGTTGGGCTATGATTGTATTGACCATGTGTACCATCAGATATTTGAATGGACTCGATTTTCACACATGGTTGATACAATCATAGCCCAACCCACAATCTAAGCGAACCGATCTCACGGTGCATACACCCTTGGGAGTCGAGCTTGTTCATTGAGTGGATTGAAAGCATCTTGTGTTAATACGTTCATAGTACATTCACATTACAGTACTTCACAATGATAATCCGCCTACGAGTTAACTAATGATGAAGTACAAGTGTCAAGTGAGATAAAGGGGGTGAGTAGATGCTCTATTGCCTGGGGACAAGTACTGCCGGATGGCTGATGGCCAGAGAGAATGAACTGAACCAACATGAGTGTAGGCTCTAGGTCACTCCTGTCTGATAAGCGTTTGGTGTGATTATAGAAGTCGACAATAGTGGTTCTATGTTTGTTGTCAAACATTTCACTGACGGAGAGGTAATAATCCTAAAAGTACTGCCCTCTGAGCTTTGCGATAGTTGGGCACTGTCCGAGGAAGTTCAACTGCAAGACAGTCTCCTCTTCATCACTGCACATAGGACTTAAAGAAAAAGTTAGAAGTGGTGACAAGTTCCGAATTATAGTATCATAGTTCCGTTAATAACTTGTGATCTCGTTAAAATTAACGGAACTAATATTAGATTAGATCGAAAGTCGAAACTTTCAATATCAATACTATTGACAATAACGAATAGAAAAGATTAATCTACAAAAGAATTTGTTCTTGGAGCATAAATAGTTGATACGAAAGTTGTTAAATCGGCTAGATAATAAGATAAAAGTGCTGCTCGCCGCACGGATATCATTCAATCGTGTAACTAAAAGATGGCGCAGTGGTGTCCCTCGTAGGTCGTATGTCATTTGGCATAGGCCATGATTAATAGATGGGCGGGTTTCACAGGTCACGTGACAATCATGCCTTATAAGCCTTTAAATTTATCGGAGGGAGGTATCCAGAATACGCCAGATCATTTGTTATAGAAGCTTTTAAATATGTTAATTGTTAATAGTCTTCTTGTAGAATGTAGACTGCAGTAGAGCATGATTGTCATCAGATTCAAGCAACTCGCCCGCCTATAATTAATCGTGTGTCCTATTATACTCCTGCTACGGTAATAAAGGGAATAGCACTGTTGGTCTCGAACTAAACGGTACATACTCGAGTATTACGTATCACGGTATGTTCTCGACTCTGTGCCGTTTAAGTCTAAGTTAGGTACAAACCATGTGTTGTTCGATGGCTCTGTATGCAAGTAAGAAATATAATAAATGTATATTGACGTTTAATTTTAGTCGGAAAGGGAATTATATTTAAGATGGTTAAAATTCTTAAATTCATAATTATAGCAGAAGCTCTAGAAAATTTTTTCCTGTCCCTGCATTTTTAAAATGGCTATACGGCATGGTAGAAAAATTAGCAGCTGCTTGCGATAATATCAGATTACCTGGTTATCAGTTCTAGATAGGCTAAAGCAGAGGCCGATGACTGTTCAATAAACTCAATCAATACGCTTTAGAAGAGACAGCAAAGTAAAAATGACGATATTGTTGAGGGACGCAGTGTAATTGTATGAGTCATATGACTTTAGACGAGCATGAGAATTGGGAACTCTTTCCTAAAATAAATGAGGCACATTATAGACTGAAGGGATTGAGAAGCCGGTATTAATACGACCTGTCAAGGCTGACAAGTTCTGTGCAAGTGCAGCTTCTTGTGGCGAGACTGCTCAGGCTGAGAAAACACAAAGACCAAACCCCCCTCCCCCACCCCCCCCCCCCCCCCCCCCCCCCCCCCACTTTCTATGGCCTTCTCGTATCCGGCAGATCTTACTCTATGGAATACCGTATCCGGCAGATCTTACTCTATGGAATACCGTATCCGGCAGATCTTACTCTATGGAATACCGAATAGCGATTAGCGGTCAGTACACAGTTAAGTGGAAACAAATAAACGAAATGAAGTAGCTGATTTAACTCTTTTCTGACGACTATGTAAATGACAGGTTGGTCCTCTAATTAGTTTGATACTGGTGAAGAACGGTACTTTAACTAATTATTGACATAATGACAATCTGCAGACCAGTGGAAAACACTTGTCAAGAGGAATTAAGTGACATTATCAGAAGTAAGAGTTAGAATCTGTTGCACGTTACACTTACAGTTACACAAGCTGTCTTAAAATAACGCCGTCCTATAATTACCCAGACTGAGGAGAGGAGCCGCTGAAGTTGTACAATTTTCAATTTGATTTGCCAAATTTACCCAATAACATGTTTATTATTTTGAGCTGATCTGTACAGTGTACTGCTGATGAAGTGCTGCAACCGCCCCAAGATAATACTAGATAGAATTAGGAAATATTTTTTATCGTTAAAAATGAAACCGACATTCCGCATTATCATGATAACCAAATAACATCACCATGAATAATATCAGACTTCAGAAGGACCGTGAATTTGCTGATGAAGAATGCAAGTAATTCGATTTTATATTCTGATAGACGGATAAGATAACAGCGCTGTGTTTTAGAACAACAGGCTTTGTTATTTAGAACACTGGTTTATAGTTTGTATCGCCAAAGAAACCTGATACAATCCAAACTTGCTGACGGGTGGCCCAGGTGGCGTGACTTTCAGGGCAAGAAATTCATTAGGTAGCTGGCCGGAAAACAGGTGACCGTAGCAACTAGCAAACATGTGCCCTTTTCCTTGTCCCCTGTTTATTTACTGAAAGAGCGAATTTGACTGTGTGATGTTGCTGAAAACTATTTTGGGTACAGGCGCGGCACATTTATCATAACTGATAACTAATCCTGTGTTGATTTCTATCACTTAGCAGCTATTTCAGCCCAGAAAGTAAACACATAAACTGTGATACCATTGGATAAGCCCACCACACACTTTCTAGTCATTGGTCTTACTACGTGCTAATAACATCTAGCTCTAACTCTATTTACCGAGAGAGTAGATCTGCAGCACAAAGATAATGACCCGTGGAAGAGGCTGCATATTAGCGGTGCGATGATCTAATACTTTCTATCAGCTGACTTACACGTGATGGAACCACGTGCTTTCAGCCGCCGAATAAACCATGGCAACAACACGCCACGTGACTTCTTCACTACGAAGCTCATTAAATCTCACGAGGGGTCTGTGAGTGAGGCGCTGCTGGCTTTATATTGTGTGCATCTCGTTGTCTGTCCTCAGTACTCCTTGTACACACTTATAGCCGCCTTTCCAACGTCATGGAGAGAACGGTTCTGCTTACTTCGACTTTTGTAGATGTGTTCAGCACCCTCGCCCCTCTCCCTCATCTAGAGGTACGAACAACTGACAAAGACAAGATTTACTTTTAATTACTGTTTCACTTTCAATTTCATTGTTTGGATTGAGATAGGTTTAAATCTTACCAGCTCCGTCAACAATGTTTTGTGACTTGTGAGAGCTGGTAAAGTAGTCAATCAATATGCAAATATGCAACCATTGATTGAGAGTTTGTTTCTCCATCTTTTAACTAATGTAACACTGATAACTTTATTTCAGCTTGTAGGTAGCTAGTGTTCCAACTATTACTTAACCCTCACTTCATTTCAGCTTGTAGGTGTGGGAGAGGGGTAAACCGTCCGACAAGAACCACGTCCTCCATTTATCTGGAGATGAACCCCGCATCAATCTACTCTTCTGGAGGAAGGTGATAGCACGACATACGACGCGGTCTGCACGTGGACCAGTAACACTTAACGGTTGATAATTGTTTCAAATATTGACCGTTTCAAGACTGTCGACGAGTTCAACTCGGCGCGTGTCTTGGTAGGTTACAAACCTATAAGTGGGACGCATGCGCAGATCGCACACACAAGGTCTGGACCTGTTTCTCGGTAAGCAGGCACGCAATCTACCATTGTCAGGTAGCTAGTGTTCCGAGGGCAGTTCTAGACCCATGGGATCCCGGGTACAGTGCCTCCTCGTGGCGGGTCCTGGTAACGCAGAACTACTGAGCAGCAGATATCTGATATCGGATCTTCCTTGTGATTTCATATTATGGGAATGTGATGAACTTGTGATTTGATTACAGACTGATTTGTGCACGTGATAGTAAAACTGAAGAGAGTTTAAAGCTACCGTGTTACACTATTGCTTTGAGTTTATTTTTCTGAGAAGTTCTGTGGCTGAATCTTGTATCTTCAATCTTTATTTTAGAACACTTTAAAAAATAGCTTGTTTATCATTTATTCTTATTGTGTATGTAATGCATGGGTAATAATGAAATGAGATATAAGTCAGTTAATAAACAAATTGCTAGTTACAAACATTTTCTAATTCTCGAACATAGACAACAGACAATAAAATTAATAAGGCGCAGGTTATATCTCCGCCAAATAAAAAGCACATCCAATTATATACGTCAGTAGCGTTTTTGAGCTTGTTATTCTCTTTCAAAAGTATTCCAAATCGAACTGATTTGTATAAGTGCATATATTAACTCTGAATACATTGCAAAATAATTTATCTCGATTCATGAAGTTTGAAAGAAGTTAAAGTTACAGCAATGCGCGCAATTTTTAATTTGGGGAGTGTGCTTTCGGTGGAGATATAAACTGCGCCTAAAATTAAATGTTAAATGTTAAAGCATAAAGTAAAATTAAAGTAAAATTAGTAAGGCAAAAAATCACATAAACATAAAAAGCCATTGTTTTGACTACTGAGTTGCATTGTGCATGCGGCATGGGGTTTGTTTTTTATTTGGAATGTATATTTTCAATTTTGAATTATATGGCAGTTTAGTTGGCACGCGCACAATATCATATGTTCATATCATGAACACACAATTCAACACAGTGCAAAAACAAACAACAACATCGTAACCGTCACTAAGATGCAGTTAGGTCTAACGTAACCAGTTAGACCTAACCAGTTATATTAGGCCTAACGCAGAGTTATGCCTAAATTAGACCTAAATTAGGCGCTAGGCCTAAATTTCGCATAGCCATGTGTATACGCGTACTGCGTGACACGGTCGCGCGCTACTGCAAGCGAGAGGGCTCTACTCTGGTTAGAGCACGGCCTTACTGCATCTTCATGACAGTTACTGTTATAGGCATTAGGCTTAACGCCTAATTTAGGCCTAACTCTGCGTTAGGTCTAATTGGTTTACTGGACCGCGCTCCGCCTGTCATTCCGTCTAATCACTATTCTATGTTTATGAACATGATAGCCTGAGGTCCCCAGGTAATAACTGCAACTGGTTAGACCTAATTGCTTGCATATTGGTGACAGTAACCCAATAATATATTTGTAAATTTGGCACTAAATGTGCCAAATTCAAAGCTAATCCACATTTATTATGTTTTGTGATTAAAAAATCATTTAAACATACAACTTCACCTAACCATGTGCTTTTGCGCGGGAGGCGCGCGCGCGCTACCGCTTGTAGGTTTATACACTACCGGGACGCGCGCCGAGTTGGACTCGTCGACGGTCTTGTATATGGAACACATATTTTACGAGTATCACTTGACCATTGTTAATGATCTGGCCCGGCGCGCGCTACTTCGAAGAAATTTAGACGAGTAACATCCGTCAAGAGTATCACTCGTTAAGCTACCGCAAGCGCAAGGGCTCTGGATTGTTGATAGAGCAAGTGACAACGTGCAATTGCAAACGAATTATTCATTATTGGCCCGAAATGTTGGGATGATGATTGTATTAATTGACAGATGTCCATCAACAATATAATAATGGACAACATTATAAACTTTAGCTTATACTAGTAACAAACAACTAAGATCATGTCTTTAATGCTTTCTGAGAATAATTAGCCACACCATGACACCACATCTAACAACCGTAGCACCACTGTAATTCTTTTTAATGGCTTTAATGTGAATGTTCCAGAAATCCACAATCGTGGTTGTCATACCACATACGTTACTGGGCCGCGCTCAGCCTGTCATTCCGCCAAATCTTTATTTATTATGTTAATGAACATAATAGCCTGGGGTCCTCAGGTAAGTCATACGTTGTATGACTTAACGGGTGATACTCGTAAAATATTTGTTCCATATATTGGACCGTCGACGAGTCCAACTCGGCGCGCGTCCTGGTAGGTTGTAAACCTATTGACGGATGTTACTCGTCTAAATTTCTTCGAAGTAGCGCGCGCCGCTTTCTTCTCGAAATTTTATGGCCCGATGGCAAGTGCTACGAAGTAGCGCGCGCCGGGCCAGATCATTAATGATTAACAATGGTCAAGTAAACCTACAATGTATGACCCGCCGCGCAAGAGTGCGCGGCTCCCCCTGTATCGTAAAACTAGCTCTACAATATAGTGAAACGATATTTGGGGTCACGACGTGATACAAGATCGTTGCAAGTCTCTGTGATCATTGTATTGTTAGTGAAACTCAGTAGCTAACTACATAGAACCGATTTGATATCTTGATCACATTTTGGTTTTTTGACTGCATTTCTTTTTCTGAAATGAGCAAAAGCTTTTTCGTTAATCATTAATTGAGCTATGATTTGAGGAAATCTCATGACTCTAACCGAATTTGATGCAGATCGAAAGGACAAAACTTAATCACCTACCAAAATTAAACAAGCTTTTCCATGAAATGTTGATGGCTCGCTTCTTAGCCTCCCTTGCAAGCTGCTTACACCACTTCATACGTAAGCCACTGTTGATATGCTTATCTTTTATGCACCCCGCTGAGTTGGAGCACAGTAAGTCGTGCAGCCCATCATGACTTCTTGCTCTAACCAGAGCCCTCTCGCTTGCAGTAGCGCGACCGCAGTATGCGTATACACATGGCTATGTCATATGTGAACATGAATTCTACTACAGAAAAGGAAAAAATCAGAGCTGAAATTTTCAAGAATACGGTTCATCGTTTTCATCTAAAAAATTTGAAAAAATTATTTACAGTAGGAAAACAAATTTAAATTTTGGTATTTATTAATAACAATCAAAACATATCATATCATAAAAATAAAGCCGCGCGTTGGTTGACTGCCTCAGTAAGGTGAATAATTTAAGCTTGAAGGTGCCCTGCGCATTTACAGAACCTTATGCGGCGACCACATATTCATGAGGACCTGTGAGCGCCAAAATTAATTTAAAGTTTCTAGAAATCATACATCACTATGAGTTACTCATGCTTTTGGATTATAAGAGTGCGGATTGTCAGGTATTTCATTCATTCATACTTAATCGGTTTAAAGCTGTATATTTAGAACTCACTATTGTTTAAACTACGAAAGCAGAACGTAGATAATGGACAATATACCGACGACAATACCAAGGACCCGAGTTCCGCATTGACTTTTCCGGATTATACAACTTTTTCTTATCTCGAGGAATAATATTCGAAAATCAGTTCGGCTTTTGAAAAAAACCACTCGACAAGTCATGCTCTTAATTACTCCGTAAATCATGTCGAAGAAAAACGGAATAATAAAAACCACGTATTAGGAATATTTATCGATCTCTCTAAAGCATTTGATACCTTACCATTTGATATGCTACTTAAGAAACTTAGTAATTACGGAGTTAGAGGAAACGCACTAAAGCTGCTCTCCAGCTATCTAAATAATAGATACCAGTATGTTAGTGTACTTGGTGAAGAATCAGAGCCTCTCCCAGTTAAACTAGGCGTACCACAAGGATCCGTTTTGGGCCCCTTGCTCTTTCTTATCTATATAAATGACATCTATAGATGTAGTACATTAGGAAAGTTTGTACTATTTGCAGATGACACAAACATCTTTGTAGCTGCTGAAACTAAGGAACTAGCATACAAAATAGCGAATGAAATTCTTGACTCTGTGTGCCAATATATGCGCCATAATCTACTGCACATTAATGTTAAAAAATCCTGTTACATGTACTTCTCGCCTACTAAACGTAAGACCATTGATAATACTGAAAATGACTTGAATCTAGAAATTGATGGAATCCCGATCAAACAGGTTACTGAAACGAAATTTCTAGGTGTTATTATAGATGACAAACTGAGTTGGACACCTCATATCGAGAAACTAACTAAGAAATTAAACAGTATATGTGGCCGTATTTATCGAATAAAAAACTCCCTCCCCAGCCAGCTGTACAAACAGATATACCACACTCTTTTTGAATCTCATCTAGGATACGGTATAACTGTATGGGGTGGTGTATCAATTAATAAGCTTTCACCGCTATTCCTTGCACAGAAGAAATGTGTCCGAATCTTATTTGGGGACTCGGAAGCATTTAGCGACAAGTTTAAAACTTGTTCTCGTAGCAGGCCAATCCAGTGCAGTATAAACAAGAAAGGTCAAATATCCAATGAATCAACTATACCTCACATTAAACCGTGTTCTATATGTATCAGCTTGAGGAAGACTGGTGATAGACAAGTAAGGCCACATCGCTGCCAAATACTTGGGGCAGAATTCCACTTTAGAGAATCATCAAAACCGATTTTCCAATCTAAGGAACTAATGACAGTACATAACATATATAGATACAGATGCATTACTGAAACAATGAAGATAGTGAAGAGTCATCAGCCCATATCCATGTATTCTCTATTTAAGAAGTCTCAGCTCAGAGATGACAGATTTGTGACACCACACTCATCTCACAATTTCGCATATAAAGGGGCAAATCTATGGAATACGTTTCTTGAACAGTCAAATGCACGTGGTAAAATAGGTTCACTAGGCTCAATTAAATCCCAATTGAAGTATTCTATCATGAAGGCTCAACACCAACCTAACAATATTAACTGGCAGGACTTAAACTTCAACACTTTCCGATGAAAAGACCCCCATTTATATTTATATCTTTTACATTTTACACCTGTCACTCACATCATATATACACCACAAAATAAAAAGATTCATTCAATCATTACATTATACACTCACTCCACCAAACACGCACACAACCCATTGAAGAAGGTTACACGCGGGTGTACCGTTCGCTTTATCTGAAGGGAAAAATGATACTTTACGTAACGCGCGATTTACGTCTTGGTAGCTAAATTAGTCAAGCGCTATTTGTCAGAGCAACACAAATGCGCGCGAGCGCTTGCGCGGCTCTCTTATCCACTACTCATGTCTACATCGTACCAGGCAATGGTTCAGTTTAATTATGGTAAGGGCACAGCCTGTCAAAAACCCTTTTCGCATGATCCGTCGACACCGCCTGAAGGTGACTTCATAATAACGGATCAACGTGGAATCAAACGTTAATAAGCTTGCAGCTTCCGATGTCAATATAATGTATTCATCCTGGTGTCGCATGCTTGAACTGGTTTTGGACCTCTTCATGCTTTTAATTTATTTATTATTGTTATTTAGTATTATGTATTATGAGCTGATATGTACATACTACATATACATACGGTATCTAAAAATTAAGCGTATAGCGAGCATATTTAAACAATTTTCAAGCAATAATGTATTGCAAGCAGCTTCAACTTAAATCATAATTATCGCATAAAAATCATTTAACTCAAAACTAAACTTTTATTGGAATATAGGGAAAACTAAAATAAAATTAATGTCAGACCCGTCGCCACTCTCAGCAGTCAACCAGGGCTCATAAAAGCTTAACAGCGCCTGGGTCCGTTCACCAACTGTGCTAATGTGAGTGGCGGTGTGCCGTGTGGTAAGACCCATTTTTAACAGCGTGAATATTTATTAAATACAAGCGCGCTAGCTGCTAGCATACTTGTTTCATTTAATTTTAAATCACATTTATTCGGATATATATTTATTGATTATGTATTGAATTGGTGATAAATAATAAAATTGTCTTTTCTCAAAAAATTGTCTTTTCTCTAGAAAATTGTTCTTAAGGAATCTTTTTGAGGTGTAAAAAATATAATCGATCGACAATGCGCCTTAAAAACAGAGGCTGTTAAATAATTAATATATAGGCCTAATTTCAAAAATGAACTTTAGATACAGTGATCACAAAATAGCAAAACATGTACCAGCTACAAGAATGGGTGAAGAAACTCCCATTTTGTTTTTTGCTGAAAGCGTTTCCGATGTGATATTAATCAGTGGGGTGCAGATAAAACTAATTGAAAGGTATAGAATAATAACCAGAAACTCGGTTTATAACATCACGCGTTAATAGAGTGAAATCTCATAAGAATTTTCATCAAAAACTGAAGTTCTCATATTAGCAATATGGGACTGAATCAGACCTACTCATAATATAATGCTATTCTGTAAGAATCCTTGTAAGAATTATTTGGCTTCCTGTAATTGGCTGGTTATACTCGTGTAACAATGTGGCTGTTGTAATTTCCGAAGTAGAATAAGTGTTAGATAAAAAATATTGAAATGATCTGAAACAGAGTTGTAGTAGTAAGGTTTAGTGCCAAAGTTGAAACCCTGGGGCAATTTAAGACTACTCAAAGCACTGATTACCATGTGGCGAGAATACTCTACTTGAATGGGCATGTTAAGAATTCTCAATTATAATGAGGATATATAGCAATGAATCAAGGAATACAAGGAATACAAATTTCGAATCTTAAGTTACAACAGTAACTGTCAAGATTAAAAAATACTACTCGCCCCTCTCCATAATAATAATATTAGTATTAAAAAATATGAATGGAATTTGACTATATTTAAATCTTCGTTTTATTTGATAAACTATGTTATATCGCCACTTGCATAGGGTACCCTTGATCAATGAGTGCAGCTTTTTGGGCAACGGTGCTCAAAGAGTAATGTTGAAAATGTTGTAGATGTACGTTTATGGCAAGAATCAGAATTTATTGACTCCAAGAACATTTTACTTTTGTTGAAACAGTTGGTGATATACTTGGCGACATGATGTCCAGAGGTAGAGGAGGAGTAGAAGTGAACTAAAAAAGAAGAGAAGAGTTTACCAACAAGAATCTCTACCTAATATTATTTTGTAATTTTTATTGTCATACCTATATTTTTCCAGTCATAAAGATACCTTTGTAATATTAATTAATTGTTTGATTATAATTGCATTTAATTTGTATTAATTTATTATTTGTGACTTATAAATTAGTAGCCATTGCAATATCGTCTATAAAATGATTTTTAGAATTTAAATTTATGCAGGAGCAAGTTGACAAATGGCAATGACATCTGAAAAGACTTTGTAGATTCATCTTTTTCTTGTTTAATTCGTATTTGTGTATTTTGAGATTCAGTCATTAAATATATTTTGTTGATTATAATGTTATGAAATTGCATAATTTATTTATTGTAAATTTATTCTATTTCAATATTATGTAATGGGATGAAAGTGTTTTAACCAGGTGTAGCCAGTCCACACCCTGGCTCCATCAGTAATCGACCGGGATTCTGAGCCAAATAAAACAATGTTTAAAATTGCTAAACAAGTTTGAGTAATAAATTATGATCATGAATTAACCAGTAATCGACCGGAATTCCCGGTACCGGGAATCCCGGTACCGGGATTGGCAATTTTGAGCTATCCTGGTCCCGGTCAAGTCACATTTTTCATCCCGGTCCGGGTCAAATGCTAATTTATGATCCCGGTCCCGGTTAATTCAGGATTCTTGGTCCCGGTCCCGGTCCCGGTCAGGCCTGAAATCATGTCCCGGTCGATTACTGGGCTCCATAATATGAAGGACTTGTTTTAATTCTAAACAAAAACTCGAATATCAATGAAATTCGTAAAAAATCTCTAATATGGCTCACAGTAATCACTGCTAACATGTCTAGTACTTGAAAGTTGAAACACTGAAATTGGACATGATAAATAATATGTAATTGTGTAGCTTCCTTTTCCGATGAAAAGGCTATGTGCTATATTCATATTGACATCATCGATTCCTTTGCGAATTTCATACAATGAAATCACATCGCACAGGTACTCATGTATTTATATCTGAATTTATATATTTAACTACCTTCGGTTTTATATGAAGTTCATTTAGGAATGAATCGAATATTTTCGGTCACTGTTTGTTGATGAGTTGGTACTTAAATTTTAATTAAGATGATAAGGACTATGTTGTCCTAAAGTTCCAGATTGCCGCTTTTAAAATTGGTGTTGAATGCTTGCTTTTAAAATGATCAAGATCTTTAAAATTCTATTTACAAATAACAGGCAAGAATTGTTAAGCTCATTTTCCAAAGGAGCAAATCCGTCAACAATACAAAAGCGGTTAAATTCTTTGATGTCTGACGATTTACTTTCAATATTCACTAATCAGACTTTCAGTTATCATTTTGAATCACCTTGTTGAAAATTAACTACCACGGCTTTTTGCTTTCCCCAAAGTCCTTGGTTTATCATTATGATTTTCAATACTTGTCAAATTAGAATAATGACACGATATTTTAGGTAGGAGATATGATCTCCACAAAGTATGAGAAGTATGGGAATAGTAGTCTCTTCCCTGATCTCAATCTCAAGATGACGAGACTGGATGAGAAACATGCCTTGCAGCACATACACGACAGGTAACCAATATTCATAATATCATATCAAGCTATGTGGGCAATAGTGGGGAGGTGATCGCTGTTAATTTTCAAAACAAACGTGCGTCGCCTCTCCACTATTGCTTTTGTTTGTAATATTTTGTTACGGGAAACGGGAGGATAGATTAAAAAGGGAAGTACAACAAAATATTGTTAGTTGTCTTTTGACTTTCATATTCATTTTTTTGTACCTCATTTGTAAAATTATTTTTGGCCAGGTTCAGTAATTACACCAGTCGTGTAAATCAGCTAACTGATACAAATCAAAAACTGGAATCACTCCTAGTAAACTCAAAGGTTGGTTTTGAGTAGGTTTTTAAATTGAAATATGTCACTAACGTAGCACCTATTCTAACCCCTCTGTTATAAGTTGTTGACCATTTTCATGTAATAATATGATCTATGCACATACCAATCATTTTAGGTAGCCACACCACGCTTCTAGACAAAAATGTACATTCCACCACCCACTGACCCACAACTACCCCAGTTAACAGAAGAAGAGCTGAAGACTATAAAGGAGATGTACGAAGCTGAGTTGAAAGAATCGAGACATCTTCTGGAGAATAACGGGTCTGAACTTGCCAAGAAACACGATCTTCAACTTAAAACTGCAGCCATGGTTCGAGATCTTAGTTCTAGGTGAGATATTGTGCTCTTTTCAGAAAAATTTTAATTTATACTGAGACGGTTTCTGGAAAACATGAGTTGTGCCAATTTTAAAAATTAGGTTTTGCAAGCAATTGACCTGCTTGAAGAAATGTTAAAGCAACGTAATGCGACTTATCTTTTTATTATCGTCATCTTGTAACTGGCTCAAATACTTTAAAACCTCTGCCATTTGTTAAATATAGTTCTTTATACCATGCAGTTTTGAGTGCCTCTTTGTAATCTTCTTCAGTGGTCAATAAAAAACAATCTTGTCAAACATCTGTGGATTTAATATTCATTATTAGCAAGCAAGATTAGTTTTGAAGTGATTTTGTTTCAGTTCACATGAAAATATGTACCTATATTAAAATAAGTGGAGTTTCATCTGGGAAATAATAAAATGCTTATATTAAATAATAATATGACTTGTGAGCCCTAGCTCCATCTTTATGCTATTATAATAATAATCATCCAGGCTAGACGACGAGCAAGCTGTGAGAAAGAAATCCGATGAGAATCTGTTGTGTACAGAACAGGCACTAGCTCATAAGGAGAAACTGCTGCTAGCTGCGTTCAGGGAGCACGACGAGGTAAAGTAAAATGTAGCTGTTATATTGCGCCATGTGTGTCGGCGGTTTTGTGTGCCGCCAAGAATTTGGCGGCGGAGTACGATCATAATCATATGCATTGTGACTTGTGAGCCGGTCCTCAGAGCATTTAAATTTGTTGCAAATTTTTCTGGTCAGACTCTCAGACAATGTTTTGTCGAAGTGTTGAACATGTTCAATATTGTTTGTACACTTAGAACGAAACAAATGTTTTCCTTCATGTTGCGAAGCTAAATACCAATACTCCAATAGTAAATCACTATTTGTGTTTAGTGTGACCGCGTCGACAATAGTAGCTTACGAACTCAAAATCTGCACTTTGCTTCAAATTCACTACACAGCCTGCTTTGAGAAAATCATTAAAACACGAACATAAATATTCTGAGTGTTGTAACAAGCACTCTTACTACTCGTGGAGTTAAAATTTGCAGGATTTATGTTGGATTTATGCTGGATTGTCACGTTGTTAAAAAGCATCATGGTCTAAATTAGTTGAATTAAATGAAGCATCATCTGCAAACTTATGCTGCATAAATCAAGGACATAATTGAGAATGTGAGCTGCGATGATAATTACATGTTGAACTCTGCGAACACATTAACATTCTCTTCAAATAGATACACCCAGAAAGGTACGTTGCTTATAATACTTAATACACAGGATATGATCCCGATACTTAAAAGATATGATCCCGATACGGTCTCGCTCTCCACATTAATCGTTGTCATACGTACGAGTCTGTTAATACTTGTGTCCATGTAACTAGACACTCTTACACTACCTAATGTTATAATTCCCTTACCTCCGGGAATTCAATCTGAGCTGAGTTGTTGTCCTGACAACCCCCAATAAAGCAACAACAATACAGTACTAGTTACCCATTAGGAAACAATCTGAGTGAAGTACAACAGAGTTCGTACACTTATCAAGTAGTAATGATAGATCTATCAGAGTAGAGTGTTTGGTCACGCAAAGCAAAATTTCAAATGCATATTTAAGGATTTTTCCAGATGAAGTGGGCATGTAATTGTAATCAACCGTGAGAAATGAGCTAGTATTGTTAGTGGAGATTTTGGATTTTGAGACATTTAGGAACCCACAAAACAGCAGAGTAATCAGTAAAGTTTCTGAAATCGATATTTGATTTGTAAATACGGTAAGACTCGTGGTCATTAAGTTCACTTTCAGTGTGATGAACATAACCGCTAAGGGTTACAATTTCTTGATCATTTGTTTCAATGATTTCAGGACAGACGAACAATTGCGCAAGCTATGAGAGAGAAAGACGAGATAAGATCAACTCTAGCTGCGTCTAAAAAGGGTCACGAGCGAGAAACAGTGTTGAGAGTTGAAGCTGAGAATTGTGTAAATGCCACCAGGCAGGAACTTGCTTTCGTCAAGGAAGTTCACAATGCTGTGAGTTATATTTATTTCTTTCAAGTAATTCAAGATTCTCTCTCATATTTCTTTTTCTTGCTTTCGTTTATTTCTATCATCTGAAGCATTGCACCAAGCAATCTCTGTTTTTCCCAACACCCAGCACATTTATGTAAAACACCCTCTCAAACACCTTTACCTTGCAGGAAATACAATCACTGAAGGACAAAATAAGCGACCTAGAGATAATAAACACAAATCTGGAACGGGACCTACGACAAGAGTTTGAGCATCGTCTACAAAGTGACCTCTCAGAAGCTAGAGCTCGTCTGGATAAACTTGCTGCTGCTCAGAAGAATGAATATGAGAGCAAAATGAGGCAGAAACTGAAACAAGCTCAGGTTTGGACCTCTCTTAACATAACTTTTCTGTGTTAGTCAGGATTAACTTAAAACTGTAAACTTCACATCGCAGTGGAACAGTTGAAGAAGCTTGAAACTTCTGGAATTGCACAGAAAAGTGCAAGATTATCATTATTTTCTTCATTTCAGACGCAACAAGAGCAAGATGGAATCAGACAGAACACCCTGAATGATGCTAACGGACAGCTGAGAATACAGAACGACGCACTAAAAGCTCAGGTAGAACAGGATAACAGATCCTCAAGAGCTTTAAAACTTTGTTAAACAAGTTTCTAATTTGAATTATGAAATATTTTCCCTCGTCCACCAACAATTAAAAAGCTCATCTTAAAGTTTCTTTTTTTTTACAGGTAAACAATCTGATCGGAAAGAATAATGCGCTGGAAGACACCCTACGCAACACGACCCACTCGCTGGAGCACGAGCGCTCGCACAATGCGCTTACTCTCACACAGTCACTCGGCGAACTTAAAGAACTCAAGGACAAGTTCCATATCAAGGTACACATGAAGAAGAAAAACACAAAAGTTCAACTGAATTTAATCGCCGCAACGTTTGGAAAATGTTAATTGAGTCCTATGTTAGAATTCATTTAACTAACATTTTTGCTTATAGTGTCTGGAATGTGAAGAACTACAAGATGCTCGTATCCCCCTCCAAGAAGAGATCAGCAATCTAAAAGAGAACCTGGATCAAAACGAGAGTTTGTTGAAGTACCGGACGGAGGTACAGACAGTAGGTCGCCACAGACCCGTCACCGCCTCCCAACTCTCAGGTCAGAAGATAAGCAGCTCGTCCCAGCGCTTTGTCAATGATGATGTCAAGCGTGCGCCATCTGCTGCGTCTGTTGCGTCAGCGCCAGCTCGGACGAAGGAGGTGGAGACTGTTACTGATGTTTCTCGGTCTCCTAAACGTGGACAGAACCTGGCTACTCACTCAGATTCTACCAGTTTGTAAGTCTCCTTTAAATGTTCATGTTAAGTTGGTGATATTATATCTTAATTTCCATCAACATCAGTATTATAACATCAGTATTATAACATCAGTATTATTGTAACATCAGTATTATTGAAGATGTGGTTGATGTATACTTTACCAAAGCCAATACAATGTTGTTTCAGTTCAACAGGTAGTGTGAAGATATGGGATGTCCATGATAGAGGAGACTACGTTAGACTCGTTAACACTTCCAACCACGTTAGTTACTTACTTGTACTAGTATTTCGGCTTCTTAACGTTAATCTAATATTAATTTATTTATCAATTTTAATATTTACTACGTGTTCTTATTAAATGGTGATAAGGAATCTCTGGTATTTGAATCCGGTACCCCAGGGCCAGCTTCTGACTGTAGTGAATGTCTGCTAAAATACTTAACATAACAATATCCAGGATGAGTATCTGGGAGGATGTGTGATACAACAGACGGTCAGTGACAGTGCTTTCTGCAGCTACAAGTTCCCTCACAACTTCGTGCTCCGGGGCGGAGCTATGTGCACTGTAAGTATACATACACTGTATGTGCACTGTAAGTATAAATGCACCGAATGTGCAGTGTAACTGTTAATACACTGTATGTGCTTTTAATGTTTGTCTATTGTCTATCTTATAAATGTAACATAGTTTTTATTGAAACAATGTGTTACGTTACGATTCCTCTGAAACTGCTGCGGATAAAAAGCAACTACAACTACAGTTTCTTTTGGCACCCCAAGTCAATTCTCCTACTGCTTCTCAATGAAAATGCTCTTACTCCTTTGAGAGATAACCATTGGCGGCTGCTAAACTTCTGCATAATTTTATAATATTTCTAACACTTTTCTCGAACACACCGCCTTACACCGAACATGCAGCCCAGCCAACTCAGCCAGTATTTACACCACTGGTTAATCTTCAGACCAATCTCCGGATTATATGTTGCACAGTTGTCCAGCGTGCACTGGCTCCCTGACGAGAAGGACAACACAATGACTCTCTACACGACTAGAAGCGCTTGTAAACACACGTGTAATGCCATTAACGCTGGATTACTATACGTGCTGGCCTGCACACAGCAAGCATGCTAACAAGCACACATGGAGCTGCAATTTGTTTTCTTTCTTATCGCTAATATACAGGAGCAGCAGTTAGTTCCTGACTGCCCCGAGACGGAGGAGATTTGTTATTCGGCAGAGATGTCTGGTGTCCATGTCGATAACTCTTGTAACTATTTATATTAATTATATGTTTGCTTCTCTCGGATGTCAAGGAAAAAATAAACAAATTATCTGCTGCTTCACTGACGTTACAACATCTCTTATCATGTATGACTTGAAGTAATAAGATTTAAATTTGCAACCAATTACAGGAAAACTAAAGAAATTATGAATTAATAGTTTCAAGTCAACTATTCAATCAATAATACTGTTTATGTGTACATTAATCAATATGTACTATTGAATTGTACTATTGATGTAACATTTAACAAATAGACTGGTTCAGAGATAAACTTCAGTCACATAGTATAATCGAATTGTACTTTGAAAATTTTACTCTATCTTATTATAGGTAACACAATATATTAACCCAATTTTTTCTATAATAACAACAATCGTCAAACTTTTTCAAAGATATTGATTTTAACAATAGCTTTAAAGACCATATCAAGATAAACTTTTAACCGCTCTAGTCTCACAACGTAATAAAGCTTACAGTCTTTTACTTGACTGGTAAAGTTCCTCTTCCTCGATTAATTATCTGTTAGCTGTAAAGCCAACAGATAATAAAACAATTCAACTGTTTTTAGTTTATTCTACTAGATATGCTACCAATCTACATTTCTCAACTACCAAAAATGTACGATATAACAGGGGTCCGCATTCACCCCATAACATGTCTAAATTACTGACTTGTTCACCGTGAAATTGTAAATAACTCCAATTCCAGTATGTTTTGGTTTTATCACATGTTGGTTTGCCGAACACGGGTGTTATCACTGAAATATTCCCAGATTCAACAGTTATTATACTGATCTGTAAAGCTACGTGTAATCTTGGCATTGGGTGAGAAAGTGGCTGGTCTGGATCAAGCTCTGCTAAGTTCATTTTGAATGTGTCCGGATTGTCTCCTTCCATGGCGATTGTCGTAAAAACAAATTTCAGATTAGCATACTTGGTATCTGCTAGCTCGAATTCAAATGAGGAGTTTTGGTGGAAATATTTTCTCACAAAATCTTCAGCTGTAAGATAGTCCGTCAAGTTTATGCGGTTAACTTGATCTTCCTCAAAGAAAAGTTCAGCCTCAGGACAATTTCCCTCAATACCAAGCCAGGTTACAAAATAATCTATATCTATCCGGCCCCACCCACGCTCTTTTTTAACAGCAACGATTCTCGATGATATGTCTTTAGGAATTTCATAATCACAGATTTTTTTCATCCAAATTAGTCCATCTAAGAATGAATATAAATTTGTAACGCCTAAATTTGAGGCACGTTTTTGAAATTCAACGTCGAAGGTGGTGTCTTTATTAATATTAAAGTCCTTTGGTGAAAAAGGACAAATCTCTACTTCAGGACAAATCACTACTTCAGGACGAATCTCTATTTTAGGACGCTTCACTACTTCAGGACGAATCTCTACTTCAGGACGAACCTCTACTTCAGTACGAATCTCTACTTCAGGACGAACCTCTACTTCAGAACGAATCTCTAGTTCAGGAAGAATCTCTGCTTCAGGATTGAAAGTGCAATATCTACTCGTTATTTGTTTGTGCAATGCCACGAACAGTTGATACTCCTCTTTTCCAACATTCTTAATACATTCCAGCGTTGCAAATAGTTTTGTGTGGAGAGAAGAATTATCTGCAAAGCTAGCACTCAAATCTATATTTCTTAACAGATGTTTACTGTTGACGTCAAGACTCTCAAATCCTTGCTTTTCCAGATGCGCTATAAGTACGTTCACCAAAACATGTAAATCGTCTTGGACGATAGCGATACAGGCATCAAGTTTTATATTCGTACAGGTTCCTACATCGAACAAGTAATCCACGATGAAACTCCCTCTGATGGCGTGGGAGAATGCAGTGCTCATTTTAAGTATTACCAGGTCAAGGAAATCTCTTTTCTTTACAGTAGACAGCAGATAAACAGCCTCCTCTACAGCAAACAGCATATCAGGGTAGCTACTCTCACTGTCTAGTTTATCCAGGTACGACACAAAGTACTTCTCACATCTGGCAATAAGCCAACTAACATCAAACACACGACTCATCTTGTTCACGTCTCTGAAGTTTCCTAGAGTTACTGCCTCTATTTCTCCTGTGTAGGAAGCCTCAATAAAACAGTCCACTGCCTCCCTGCTGAAGTCCTCAGCTTCTAGTGACGTCAGGTGAAGGTCTGTTGTCAGGTCATCTATAATAGGACTGTTCAGGGACAGTATAATGGAGTTAGCTTTGATCTGAACCCCCTCTCCAAGGTTGAAGGTAAGGTTACCGTGACTTGGTGCTCCAATGTGGTGTCTACCAAAATCTGCTGGTACACAAACTTTTGGGGCCATGGTTCAATCTGGAATGAAAATGGTTGTTAAGTAATTGATTATTACATGTTTTTCAAAATTAATAAGATACATAGTCCCACCTTATGCATCGTCAACCTATGTTACCAGTTAACACTTTACCTGGGGACCTTAGGCTTTAATGTGTTTAAAACGAAGATATGGTGGAGTGACAGGCTGCTGACGTCTAGCAAGCAAATTATTGGGGAAAATTACCGTATTTAGAGAATCGTAAATATAAAATATATTGTTAGCGGTCAGCAACAAAAGGAAAGTGACTTGTAATATAATGCTAGAAATAGAAGGTTGGCTTCTTATCGTTTTATTCAACGTAAAGAAAAGTAACGAGGTTAAGATAACTTTTAACATGGTCCTGGTATTTTATATCCAGCAACCTTACTTACTGGGTTGTATGATAGTCATGTGATATTTTCGTATTTGAGTTAAGTTTCTCGTGCAAGACCAGCTAAGTTCATAAATTTAGTGGTTGTACAGCAATACTAAGGCAATGGGACTACTGCGGACCCTCCACCGGCCAAACCTTGTTAACAAAGCCGCAGTCAAGGTTTGGCGAACGGTAGTTAAAAGCGCTTTAGGGACGTAAGTCAAAGAGCAACATCATGTAGTGGACATCTTGAGAAATGAGTAATAGGTAGCATGTAAGGTTGCTCTTTCATAAATCGTCTTCCTACTCCGATAATAAATTACATCAAGTCTTGAAAATTATTCGAGAAGAATCTCGAATAATTTAGATCTAGATTTAAATCTAACTGATCCAGAGGATGTCACCATTTCACCTTCACACAGACATCGATTATTAGAAGATGACGATCAGACCTCATTATTGATGATCCCGCTCGTCGAAGAAGACAACGGCCTTGCTCAGCAATGGGTAGGCTTTGCAGTTTAGATAGCCATGTGGCACGCTGCAACTAAATTATTCGAGATTCTTCTCGAATAATTTTCAAGACTTGATGTAATTTATTATCGGAGTAGGAAGACGATTTATGAAAGAGCAACCTTACATGCTACCTATTACTCATTTCTCAAGATGTCCACTACATGATGTTGCTCTACCACTTTGACTTATGTCCCTTATTAAGCGCTTTAACTACCGTTCACCAAACCTTGACTGCGGCTTTGTTAACAAGGTTTCGCCGGTGGAGGGTCCGCAGTAGTCTCATTGCCTTAGTATTGCTGTACAACTACTACAGAAGTATACCCGATAACACTCGACCTCTGACTGATTCAGAGGATGTCACCATTTCACCTTCACACAGACATCGAACGCTGCATTAGAAGATGACGATCAGACCTCATCAAGTTCATAAATGCTTGAGCTTATCTTGAAGCATTCTAGGAGCTTATCTTGAATTTATACGGAAAATTCCAAAATATTTATGAGAAATAAAATTTTCCAGCGGTCCGAGCATCACTTCATAATATCTGAAATCACATTTAATTACAAATAATATTTCAGATTTGGTCGAATCAGAGCCAAGCTCTACACAACCCTCCCTCTGACTTGCTATGGAAGGATCAGGAAGCCTGGGCTATTGGACCTGATGTTAACACAGTGCTGTACAAGCCTAATGGACAGGCTTCTACTGGCCTTAACAACACCACTGCTATTACTAGACGACCTAAATCTACTCATGGGTAGGATTCATAGTAATATGTTTAGTGTTAGTTACATATTCGTCATAGTTAGCTTACTAACTAACTTTATTACTGTTAAACTTATAATTACAATAAATTTACTTCTTACAAACTGAATATTAGTATTACTCAACACGTGTTTTATTAAGAAGAGTGAGCCCACCGGGAGTGACACGTGACCAGGGGCCATCACGTGACAGGGTTATTAAGACTACACTAGATGAGAGGAGTATGGGTTTCAGTATGCCTCCAGCCGCCAGCTCCCCTAACATTCTCTCTTACAAACAAAACAGAAACCGAGGTATGTGTCTTAATAAATGTGGGGTTGATAACTAAATGTAGGATTGTAGTCTGATGAGAATTTTAGTTTATTGATCACGAATAAGTTTTGCCAATTACTGATGTATTAGAGAATATGTTATGGTCGTTCATTAGCTCAAATTGTAGATTATGAGAGCAAGATGAATGGATAATTCGTTCAGATTTAGAGGAACTAAAAACTACAAGCACAGAAAACTGACTTGTTTCTTTATTTGCTCATCTGGAATGTTGTAATTTTGTTGAGGATTGGAGCTGAAATTCATAAAATGTGGAAGCAATTTTACATTATCTTTATGTGAGAGATAGCTGTGGTTATCTCTCCATTTCATCACTACTTATAATCAATAAGCCCTCGTGCAATTACATATACAATTAATTTCTACTTTGTCATTGAGCAAGAATTCTCTGACTTTCAGCGAACCAAAAAAAGGGGTGAAATGCGAATAGTAGTAGGTTAATCAATGTAAAAGCTAGTAATTGTGAAGCATATTTTTTACTGACTACCGTGTTATCTGCAGATTCCATACTGTTCAAAATATTCATGTTTTGGATCATTTTGGGGATTTGCAAATGACATTGTGATACTCTAATAGAACTCCCATGCTTCTTGGTTATAATACATTTTACACCTTTGAGCTTTCTTAAGGGTTCGTTCACATATTATGTAAACCGTTTTGATGTGTTATACGCAATATGTAATCGATCCCCAGGTATATCGCGCATGATTTAAATTTCCTTGCATACTTTCAGATTCTAGATATTTCTAGGTTCTTCGTTTTTCGTTGATCTTTGTACTTACTTGAATCATTTCTTAAAGGTACTGAAGATGTTCAGTAATATTGACAATCATCAAATGATGAAGAAGTGCTGTCGCTGTTTGATGACTGCACTTTGGAAATTTATCTTAAATTGTTTGACCATCAATATTTCAGACGATTTTCTGGCAGCAAGTGACCGATGGGCGAGGAACAACGCGACTTTTCACGACTATCCCAGGCCAAAAAGTGCCTTTTGAAACTGCTTTAAATTATTGATATAAGTTATTATCGTTGAGGTATATCGGTAATTTTTAACACGTGGCAACAGCAATTATTTTGAGAAAAAATATCACTCTACAGTTTACAGACTTTAAATTTCTAATGATAACCAACATGCACATAGTCAAAAAAGTTTATATCTTAATAATTATTATCTAGCACAGATTTTTCAAGGCTAGATATAAGAATTATTTTTGATGGTAAGTGGAAACAGTATGTTATTTTAAAAGAATTAGGTAGTTGGCAAAGTTTTAAATTTAGTTTCGAATGTAGTTTATTAAGCTATTGTAAATATACAGTTATGATTATTATTATTGTACAGATATAGAGTGTTGTTTTGCTTGGTTTAATTCTGTTCAGAAAACTTTAATTACTGCCCATCTCCAAGGGGATAACAAATTTCAATAAAATTTCACTTAATAAAACTCACATCACTAGATTTACGTCCAAATTTGTGATGAAAGTAAACTGTTTCGTATCGTCTGTAACAATTCCACCACGCACATGCCGCGCAATTGGAGCCGCGCACGCAGGTCCATATACTTGTTCAGCAATGTTTAGTAAATATTGTTTTCGTAACTACCTTACTCGGGATTATTATGACCGGGATAAAGTGGTGGGTTTAGGGTAATTTCGCCATATTTTTCCCGAACCACATTTTCACCGGTCGTTAATTAACCCGCCTACTCAGCTTTTAGGGTTCCCAAGGGGTATGGGTGCTCATATTTTAATCGTTGTCTTATATTCACTAAAGAAGACTATTGGGACACTTGTTGTAGGTTTTTCGACTTCATTTGGCTAAAATTGCAAAAAATGCACCTTTTTGCCCAATTCTTGTCATATATCCTTATTGTCAAATTTGATTTAAATAGGCCAATTTTTAATTTCTTAGGTATTGACTATCTCTACATAATGAAATAGGACTCAAAGTAAAAGTAACAGTTAAATTAAAACTTGAATTAATTAAAACTGATGAAAGGGATGATCCAGATGAAGATAACGAAGATGATTACAACTTATTGGAAGACTAAACAGCTCTCCCTCTATCTTAATATCGATCTGGTTTTTACGCTTCAAATGTTAAAAATTATTTTCCATCTAGTTTTATTAACCACGAGTCATTATTTCTGTCTACTTTCAACAATTATTGATAATTCGACTTGTTTCACAAGTTTTAGCAATGCGAAAATTTCTAAACTTGCTTATCTCTAATAAGGAAATTTACATCTGAGACAAAATTTTTGAATCTAAAATTTTGAAAGGTTGGACACCGGTAAAATGGCGACCGGGAAAATGTGGTGGGTTTTGAGCAATTTCGCCATATTTTTCCCGAACCATATTTTAACCGGTCGTTAATAAATCCGTCGTAATAATCCCGAGTAAGGTATATTTATTCAGGACGTTACAGAAGGAATTAATTTAATGTAGTTTGAGGAGTCCTCACTCTCCTCAAGTCCGACAATGGCGTTTCTCTTGTTGCTAATATGGTTGTTTTATTTTCTTTGCTTCAATTAGTATAATATAATACGCCTCCTCGATCCTGCGTTATTTCCGATGCACGATTAGATGGGTATATCACCTGTTCGCAGTTTTCTTTAGACGAATGATTTCAGATTTTGAATCAAATCAAAAATTGGTGAAAGTTGTCATATCAATGTTAAAAAATATCGCAACATTTTTCAAAGCTCCGTGAATTTTAATATTTTGGCTTCTAGTTCTTATGAGAAGTAAGTAATGCTCAATACATTTTCATCATTGGAATAGTCAGAATCAGTGCATTCATGTGTCAATGACAGTGTGGGACAGAGCAGTTTTAAAAGTCTTATGAAATTCTGCCGTAGAGTAATTACTTACTTTATTGTTAATTGTTAATGTTTATGAATATGTAGGCCCAGCATCTCATATATTTGCGCTCTTACGTGTCACAATTACTGCACTCATTTTGATGACCAACAGAAGCTTAACAACTCCCATAAAAACACCACTTTATGAACATTGGACGCACCTCTTATTCATCTAACTAGCTTGATCTAGAGATGAAGATATATTTTATAGAGACCTAACAACAAGTTTACAAGGTAGCTAAACTTAGCCATGAACAAATGAAATATTTTTTTTCACCACCAACTAAAACTTTTCAAATAAATTATCTAATCGCAGCCTTCACAAGCGACGGAGCTAAAATGGGACCCGCAGAAGTTCTTAACAATTCCCCCTTATAAGTAACCTCCAAAGAATCGTTCGTCGTAAGATCAGATTGAACTTTCTCGAAGATCTTCTTCTTAGGATTGAGTTGCGTGTCCGGAGCCTGGGTGAACAAGTCACTGGTGATTCTGTCTCCTGGCTTGCTGCCCTCAGCTACTGTCAGCACTTCTACTGTCGTGTGGTCCTTGTCTGATGCACACAGTAACATTCCTGAGGAGTGAGGGGGTTGAGATAAGAGAGATGTGATGTGGTGATCTTTTAAATCGATTTGCTTTGGGGTAATTATACAGAGGAGCACTTAAATTGATGCGTATAAACATTTGCTAATCGAGAATCCCTATCACCCACAACTACCACATTAAAGATACAAATATTTAATAACTCCCACCTTGACTCTTAATTCCTCTCATGTTAGCAGGTTTGAGATTACAAACCACCGCCACAAGTGCCCCATCTAGCTTATCCTGCGCCACAAAGTTCCTTAAACCACTGATGACGGTTCTCGGCTCTGCCTCCCCCACGTCTATTTTCTCTACGTAAAGTGAGTCTGCGTCTGGGTGCTGAAAGAGTTTGAAGGCTTATGTATTTGTAATAGTTATCCTACCTGAAGTTTCATTGTGCTCAATACATTATTGTATTCTTGAGATAGATAACAACTTTGCAATATTGTCTTAAGAATTAAATATTTTTCTGATTTAAATTATCATCACACGTTAAGCAAGGTTGGAAGATAATGATATATTAACAAATGTATTAATATAATAAATTATCATTAACAAAAATAAATATAAATAAAATCTAAACAATCTAAAACTATGATAAAACCTTTAGATATGGTGACTAAAATTCCAATTCTCAAATCAAAAATTTCAATTCTAAACACATTAAAATTATGCAGTCAAATTTAGAGTTCATCTCTGACAACTTGACGATCATCGTGCGGAGATCCAGCAGACTTAAGAATATTATCAAATAATTCCCCCTGTTCATGAATCCACTGAGATACCATCTCCTCAAACTGAGCTTCCAACTTATCTACATCCCCACCCAATTCATCCTGCAACTCCTCCCACAGTTCATTCTCTAAATCCTCCTCTGATTTCTCCTCATCTCCATCCTTGTTGACTGTAGTTTCACTCATACTCCTCACAACGGCATTACCTCGCCCCTCTGCTACTTTAACAGCAAACGTGAGCCTGGGTCCAGGTTTGTACGCGTGCGGGGGTCGAGCAGAATGAGGGATCGAACACTGAAACACTGCTAACCTCCCGAACTTGTTCATCACAGAACCCAGAATATTCTCTCCGTTCTCAGTATCATACCAGACAGTCCCTCCTAGATCACCAGGCTGATACTCCTTGTTTAAGTAGACAAGCAAGGTGTACTCATCCCTCTCGAAACAGTCAGGGTGTATCCGAGTATGGTCCCACGGCTCGTTCAGATTGTTAGACACATCGTACGGATACCACCCCTCCCTTCCTGTTAGCTGAACCAGCACTCTCTCCAACACCGCCCAGACTCTAGTCCTCACCAGTTGAAAGGGCGGCAGAGGGGTTATAAACACCACGTTGTCAGTGTACCCTGAGTCGTCATGCTCCTGGTAGATATACCGGGAGAGGAGGAAGTGCTCTGCCAATTCTGACAAATCACGCTCCTCAAACAGGTTATCTAGGATGTAAACAGGTTTATCTGCTGTTAGATTGAAAGAGGATGTTACTTTCACGGTCAGATCGTTTTCCCCTAGTTTCGTGTAAGGTCCACTGTTAGTAGGGAACGGTTTCTGGGTGTTATCTAGTTGTGTTTCATTGTCCAGCCAACCTTCCTCGATAAACAGAAACTGTATAAAAACAAGCCCTTTCTGAGTTTGTATAGCAGGGTATTGCCACTGATAAGGCTGTCTACACGAGAACTTGATCACAGAAAAATCACTCGGTCTTAAAGTTTTTGTGACATCACTCATGACATCATCAAAGAAAAGGAGCTCTCCGTAATCATTCCTATCCTCCGGAGTGAAGAGCACGAGCAACACAACACTACCCGACTGAGACTGGTCCCTGCAGAACCTGTTAACCCTGACATCGTCCCCCCGTCTCAATATTCTACCTGTAGCGTTCTGGAACTGAACTTTACTCCTGTCAATCTCCACCAGCTGTGTCATCTGGTCTACAAGCGGTGAGGAGAGGATCTCGTTAAAGTTCAGCTGCCAGTTTATCCCGTCATCGGTGTGGTAGTATTTCCAACACAGACCGAAGTGGATGTACTCGGCAAATTCCTCCAGTTCTGTGGATTTCCATGATCTGTGGTGTGATATCACACCGAGGTCGGAGGAATGTGACGTCACGCCGGAGGTGTGTGATATTAGACATAGAGAGAGAAGGGTATAAACGAGCAGGGATGAGGATAAAAACATTGCTAGCTAGATGTAAAGTCAGTAGATTAGTACGTATTAATTTATTTTTCAAACAAAATGTCCAAAAGTGATAATTGAATTATTAAATGTTTCACGAACATTAAATGTTTCACAAATTTGCAGCTGACTTTTAAAAACATTACATAAGATTTATAATTAACTTACTGGTTCAATATGGACGATTTTGCCGACTCTGATGTCTACTCTGGAGATATCCACAGGTCGATCTGGCTCAGCAGCCTTTCCTCCCTTAGCTGAAGTATGTTGGGTAAGTCAAGCAGTAAATACGCAAAAATATTTTTAGGAATTTTCCTGTTCTTTATAAGTACTATATAGCGAGCTAGCCAGCTCAAAAGCTTGAAAATATGTATGAATACTCATTAAAACTAAGAATGCTCATTAAAACTAGAATGCTCATAAAAACTAAGAATGCTGAAATTTTAGAGTTTCGTTTTCATTTGAAGCCTGAATACCCTACTTACTGTTAGCGATGGGGTACGCTTGCGAGGAGAGCTTCTTCAGTTCTTTACTTTGGAACTCTTTTACTATTGGTGCTAGCAACTGAAAATAATGACATGTGATTCGGCTAGTTATTAGGTGTGGCAGGGTCAATGTAATCTCAAATTGGAGTGTAAATAAGCATATTATTTAAATCAAGACAAATTATCATATTTGATATTTTGAAATTTGGAGTCAAGTAATTAATTACTTGAGATTACTTAAACCATAAGAGTTGAATAAATGAGACGAGATTTTCATAGCAAAATGGAAGAAAATCTTATTAATATTCAATGAACAATTTACAAATAAAGGATATAAAATCCATTGTGGTAATGACACATCACACAAGCGATAAAACAGTTTTAAAATGGGTAAAAACACGCCAACCAATAAACGATTGATAAAATCTAGATCACGATCTGAACAAGTTGAGAAAAAAATCCTCATAACACACAGAATTAAATTTTCAGTGCTCCATTTCTTCGACGGAACGTTTGTTACCAACGGCAACTGACTCGTCCCACACAGGTGTCTTATTTCCCTCCTCCTCCTCTTCCTCCTCCTCCATTTCAACAGAGTCTTGGTGACTAGAAGTGGAAGCACCGTCCCCACCAAGACTAGCTGAGTTCCCAGCAATACCACCAAACATCCAGGTGTATAGCGGAGCACCCTTACTCATGTTACTACAAGCGCTCCTACACAGATCCCTGAAGAACACAACACATTCCAATGTTACATTGTGGGTCAGATTGTGAGTTAGAACGAAGGGGTCTTGTACAGCCAGAGGGGAGGTTTTGAAAAGGGTGACGTAGTGGTGTGGGGTATCTTTACTTGTTTCCTCAACCTCGCTCTTCTTCAGAACACTCCTCATGCTCGCTACCTGGGTCTCAACATTAAACTCAGAACCATAGTAGCTCCAGAAACCTGACAGTAGGTCAGGAATACTGCCAACATCAGGAGGGGTGGGTAGTTTACTGATATCCGTGATAAAAGAACAGTCTAGATCATATATCATCTTGTGCTCCGTGATGAGTGGGGTTTGGAAGAAGTCGGGAAAGAAGCCCTTTTGTTGGAGGAAGTGGATACACATGATGGTGATGGAGTAGGAAGAAGGGATACACTGTTTAGGGAATCTAGCTCCCAGTACAACTCGTCTCCAATACACAACAAGCCTGATGAACCTAGCTATTCTACCATCATACGACAAGACTGTGTTGATGAGAGCGGTGTTAGCAACCCCCAGTCTGTTGCTGAACAACACATCGAACATGGTGTTGGATATCCCGTCCAGGAACCTGGTGATAGTGCCCTGACCTGGTGCCGGTATGACGTGCACGTGACTAACTCCCGTGCACTTCTCCTTCAGCACTCTGATCAGATCATCACGATCCAGCCTCTTGTCCTTACCCACTGTCAGGCTGATATCTAGATCTGAGTCTCGGAGAGCGAGGTTAGTGGCAGCTGATCCGTAGACGGAGAGGACCATGCTGTAGAACGGGAGGTTCTCGTTCAGTTGGGTTTGGATTCTGGAGCAAGCTTCCTGATGAGTCCTTTTCACTTTATCAGACACAGAAATAGCAGCATCAACCATGTTTAGAGCACAAATTGGGTCGTCCTCAGCCTCTTCCAACAGAGCCACGATGTTATCTTTATCTAGCTCACTCTCTGTAATTATCTGGTGTAGTGGTTTTATCTCTGTCACTGTACGTGATTTTATTTGCAGTTTCTTACCGTAGAAAGGCTGGAACTTCCCGGCTTGATATTCTGATAACGCAACCTGCGCCATACTCGGAGTCTTATACTCAATAATACAGTAACTCCCGTGTTTCTTATCGACTATAATCTTCGCGATCTCCCCGTACGCACTAAAAACAGTGTTTAGGTCAGATTTAAGCTTATCATTCTCCTTCCCCTCCACACAACTCCCAGTCTCCTCCACCAGCCTCGCTCTGATCTGAGCTAATTTGGGCAAATTGCCAACAAACACACTGCTCATGGCGTGTTTGTCACGGCGTTGTGTGTTGTCCACGTTGGCGTTGTGCTTTTTGCCGGCGTTGTGCTGCTGTAAAGTTGTCTCGTTAGGACAGTGCACGTTACAGGTAGTACAGTGGAATTTGCTGACATGCTCCTTTCCTGTTCTTCCCTTTTGTTTCTTGCTGGTGGGCGAGGGTTTCTTGTTGCTAGGGGATGTCTCCATGTTAACCATCCTAAGCTGAGAGATATGGTGTTAGAGTCACGTTATTAGTCTCATGAAACACAAGGATATGTTTTACCTGGTTGATATATCCCCCGACAGCGTTCTTCAGATCGAGAGGGTATATGGCCTCAGTTCTGTAAGCTTCTTTCAGCAACTCAAAGTTTGCATAGGATGCGTCCCCACCATGCTCTGGTTTTCTTTTTATCTCAAACTCTGAGTAAGATTGAAGTCGGTTACTTAAGGAATCCTAGCGTAAATTTTAACCAAAACTAACACGGTTGAAAACTCAATAGGATGACGATCTTAATAAAAACCTGTCACTGACCTTTCTCGCCGAGATAAGGGAAGATAACGTATTCAGAGAAACTGAGAAGACCGTTGTTGGTCACATTTCCGGGTTCACAGAACGCTTTGTTTATCTTCTTCTTCACGGCCGACGGTGGATCTATCAGATCGATTTTACTATCCTGAAGCGGGTGAAATTAATAAAAAAATAAGAATAAAAACAGCCAGAACCGCGATAAGTAGCACGAAATGTACAAAAATATGCGATATAATTTCACTATCATTACAACGACTGAAGAAGACAGGACAATTATGTGGGCTGCTATAAAGTATAATTGACATAATACCACCACAAAGTTCTCAAACTAACAGGTTCGCTGCTGCTCATTTTGTCACCGGTAAGTCCGGGGATCATAGCGTTCATGAAGTGAATCCTCTTCTTATACCCCAGCAGAGGTAGGTACTTCTCAGCGAACATGAAGATCTTCCTCTGGTCCACTCCTCCGAATTGAGCGTCCACTCCTAGGTATTCTTCATCCAGTGCCTGAAAAGACAGTAATATGTATATAACTTGATTTATACCAGCTTATACTGACTATACTTAAAAAGATTAAAATAATATCATATCTTAGTTCCTACCACATCTTGAGAAAACATAAAACACATTTTTTTCATATTCTTGATCATCTCCTGACGCGGACGCTCGCAACTTAATAAGCAATAAATTACCTGTAATCCAGGATATAGAAGTCCGCTGAGGAGAGGGTGCGCCACTTGTTTTACCACCTCAGCGCCGGCCTTGCGCGCGTCGTGATCAGTCACCACGGAGGAGAGTCGGTAAACATCCAGCGTGTACTCTCGGCTCAACTGGAAATCTGTACCAGTCACAAACTTCAACTTTTCTAGTGGAACGTCTAGAGACTTCAACATCGCCTGGTGGGTTGAGCATTGTGAAACTACATGAATCATTTAATGAACTTTTAATGAACTGACTGATGTAATATCTTGTAAGTTTTAAGAATAAAAGGGTATATGTTCAGATACTGGACACTGGGGCGATTAAAGTGAGTGACTCAAGGAACAATAGCTCTCAAAAAATTTTGTGAGCGTGGATCTCTCCCAATTCCATACTCCTTCTACCGTCCCTCTTAGAAAAAAGGTTCTTACATCGTTTGCTTTTAATTTAACAGAGAAGAGAAATCGAGCATTTTATATATTGCATTCAGAAACCAAACCTTAATAACAGCTTCGTAGTATTTGGCTCTGAGTTGAAGGAGTTCCCAGGGTGCCTTCATGTTGTCAAGGTAGCCGTGCAGGTCTGCGAACAAAACTGTCACCTGAAAACATTGCCACGTTAATCAATAATTTCACATCTAAAATCAACAAAAAACCCTGATTTATGTAACGTCATGATATTAACTTGTTTCGTAATATCGGAGACAAACCTCGGATCCAGCCTTTAGAAAGTCAGCAAGCTTTATCATGGGTACAAAGTAAGCGATGTGAGGTTTGCCAGTTGTCGCTGTTCCCCAGTAGATCTTAACATCTCTTTCTTTCAGTATTGTTTCCAGTCGATCCTCCCCAACTGTTTCCTGTGAAGAAAATTCGAAATTAGGAGCAAATTTAGCTGAGAAATATAATTACGGCCAATATAATTGAAATCTGATATTCATTACTAGAGTTTGATTGATTCGCATTTCTTCGATAACCTCAATCATTGCATTAACGCTAAAAATCTATACATACCTGTAGGTTGCGACAGATGAGCTGCTTCTTAGCTAGCATCTGTTCAGGAGTACGAGGTTGGGTCGGTGCCGGTGCTGGTGACATAGCCCCTAATTAGATAAGATCAGAACTAACTATTTGACATAGATTATCATTACTTATCCAGTTAAGACATTAAACGACACGCTTTTTAGAAAAAGTTAAGTAATATAAAACACACTGAAAAGATCCTAGAGAAGGGCTGTGGTGCTGTGGTTGCCATGGTAACCTGGAGTTCCGGAGACTGATGACACGTGACGAGCCCATCTTGTAATGTGGGGGAATTCTGATGTGTTGCACTGAGACACTTTCTTCAAAACCTGTAAAATTTACAACTGGTTAGGCGAAATAATAGATTTATTTAATACGGGTACCAATATTTTTGAGTTTATTAGGGCTTTAACTTGTCATGATTAAACAATGAAAATTACACGTCAGCATTCAAGTAGGCCGGTATTGGTGACTGAAAATCTGGAGGGAGAAAGTAAAGCAGATTAAGAAGTACCTGTAAGTCATGAGAGTTGTTTTTATAATCCGTAATGTAACTCCTGACAGACAAGTGGGTGTCGAGTGCAGAGAGGGAATCAGGGAAGTTAGCGTTCACAAACTCCATTTTTAATATCTGAGCGGGAAACCAAGTCAATAAGTGATGTTATGGTGCAGGTTTAGTTATCTGAAATCTGAATAATCGATAAGTAAGACAGTAGTTAGTTCTCTTAGTATAAGGATATTTAATGCCAAAAATAATGCAAGTTGATATAAACGTGAAGTAAGATTATAAACCCACTTGATTAAGGTGTCCTCGTAAAAATCTCTTAGAACCTACATATCTTATCATGAAACATACACCTAGTCCAGGAAACTTGTTAATAACGTGGAGTTAACAATAAAAAAAAATGAAAATTAAAGTTATTTAATTTACAATGTTCTGAATTTAGAGAAGTAGTTGAAGAGATACAGACTTTTTTTTAAGTAGATAAAATTAAAAATAACCAAACTAATTTGTGATAAAGCATATTATCAGGTGAGTATAAATATAATTAAAATCGCACTAAAATAAGCACATTTCGAGGAATTCTTTAGTATCACGAACTGGGCGTGGTGATAAACTGTTTTAAAATGTAAAGTAAGATAAAAATCATTCAAAAAATAAGTATGAAATTTAGTTAAGGCAACTAAGTTTCAATTCCTTAAAGTTCATTAAAAGCCTTCATTCTGTTAAAAGCAACGGTCAGCTGACATCAGAAATGTTAATTTTTCAATACAACATAAAACAAATGACTCGGTTTGAGATAAGGTTATTGAAGTGGTTACCATGGTTACTGTTTAGCGTACATGTCTGGGTTTCGGGAGTCGGATACAAGAGACGGTTTGTGGATTCCGCGAGTTACATAAATATTGTATCTATTTCCGCTGGCCACTTCTTCCGAGCAACATTCTTTGGAACTTCTCGGCAAGTAAATAATACGTCAGCACGGTCTGGTTGATAATAAAACAGATGTCTATTTTCTACTACGTAGAGTCAGTCTCCTCTGTGTCCATAAGTAGGGAGGCGGCGATGGAGGGAGCTGCTGATTTGCGGGTTCCGGTCTTCAACTTCTTGACAAGGACTGAGTTGTGGGCCTTGACGTCTCTTATGATTTGCTGAAATTATTGTGTTTTGTGTAACAACTGTGTATTGTTGGATGTAGTTTAAAATGAGTTGTTTTGTCAAGCAATGGCAAGAAATTAGAGTGTTTTAAGCACAAAATTGTTGCATGAGCTAGAGTAACTGTGAGCAATTTCATTTACATTACAGCTATTAATTCCACTAAATAAGGTGAGATTCTAGCCGGGCAGCTGTAACGAATAAGTTAAATTAAACTTACCTCCATTCCCTCTATTCTCTTGATATGCTCCTGTCCCAGGTCTGTGATCTTCTTCTGCAGTTTCTTCTCCAATTCCCACATGTCAGTCTTCTTTTCGCTCAGCTCTTTCCCCTTCACTATCAGCTCTCTGTCTCGTGCATCAAGCTGTCGCTTTAGCTGGGCTATCTGCAGCCATAATAAAATGAACATTAGGAAAATGTGAATGTCGCTTAAATTTTTAATTTTCTAAAATATGTTGACTTCATGACAGTAAACTTAAACCTGAACAATTTTAACATTTGACTTATTAATCTACTGCCAAGTAATGTAATATATGATCACAAAATATAATTAATTGCAATTGATGACCTCCTCTTTGAGTTGAGTAGTCAGCAACATAGCCTCCATACTGTTATCCTTATCAGAACTGGACTTATCCTCTACCGAGCTGTGGCCGCACAAATCTACCTGTATCCCCATCTCTTTGGGTGGTCCTTTTTTACACGCTCTGAAAAGGTTCATTTAAAATTTGTTATTTGCTCTGATTATGTATGAGATAGATGAAATTAAATTTAAGGGTTTGGTAAGAAAATTCTAGTTACAGCTTATGAATCGCACGCGGAAAGATAAGCTTCGGAAAAGACCTATGAGCTGATGAAGAGGCGTCATTAGAATCTTTAGCTCGTTTACTTTTGGACGATTTACTGTTCACGATCTCGGCTGAACTTCTCTTAAACTTTCCACTTCTGTGTAATTCTTTCTTGAACTTCAATGTGCAGAGCAAACACAGTGCTTTGTTTTCCACCTACAAATAGTAAATGTTCACTGACATTTCAATCAGACCCTAACAGCGTTCAAGCTTTAGTGAAATAACTTAACATCGAAGCAGACAACACACAGAATTTGCTAGACTTACTTTCTTTTTCGCCTCAGGTCCTTTATCGAAGTAAGAGTTTTTCTTGCAACCCTCGCAGCGTGATGGTTTGCCATACTTCTCTTCGGCCGACTTGCACCTAAAAGTTAAAGTTTTGTCGTTAGTCGCTTCACAAAGATGATTACTATTGAGTCAAGCATGTGATTTTTTTCATCGACGAATGAAAATTCGAACAAATTCGCCGATCGATTTCAATATATAAACTGAGAAACGCGCGCACGCAGAGCGAGGCGCGCTAAATTAAGACCTACAGATTGAATCTCATCAGATCAAATGCATCGCGCCTTCCGCATATTATGAATTAAATTTGTTACCGCCCGAAAACACCATTTAAGCATTGAAACTACCTGACAATTATGCATCGCAATTCGCAATCACAAGAGCTTCACTCACTGGAAACATTTGCTGCCCTTGAAAGCCGATGGAGTCTTGCACCAGTCGCACGCCTTTGGCTGAAATTGTCGACATTTATTGACAAATCGACTCCAAACTGGAATTAATAAATTAATGGAATTAATAAATAGAAAAATAAAATTAGAGGAGGGTTAAAATCTGGGTAATTTAAAAAAAGATCGTATTTAAATCAACAAACTCACATCTCCAAACTTGTTGTAATACTCTGAACATTTCTTACAGGCAGGCTTGCTTTTGTTGATATCACTGAAAAGGAGTTTTTACAAAATAGAATATCAACCATTTTTCGATAAATTTAGAAAATTTAATGAGTTACAATTATTAATTGAATGTAACGTAAAGTTCTAACCCAATAACGTAGAAATCGATCTGACAAAATGAACACTTTTCTTGGGGGAGAGTCCGACGGCATTCCTGAAATTTGCTAAGATTAGCATTTCATTTACAAAGGGATATTGTTTAAAATTGGTGAAATATTTGAATATTATATTTCTAGGGCAATAACTTCTTATACGAAAGCTAAACAGCTTTGAGGAAAATGAATTTACTAGTATTATTGACAGCAGGAATTGTGATCGCATGTTATTTGTCCTTCTTGATGGTATTAGAATAGAACAAAGCAAAAGAAACACTTGCACTGTAAAAAGAAAACTAATTACTATAAAGTAAACTACAATGAAAATGAACACAAGTCAATAATAATTATAATTAAAGATTATTATAACAATTAATAATGAACAAATTTGATAATTTTAATCTTCTGACAACTAATCCTGCTACAGCTATGAAACCTCCAAACTCCAATGCAATTAAATATGAATTTTGTCTAAACTCTTTATACAAATCATTATTTTAACACAAAACTATAGAAGTGGATTCTGATGAAGAGGTGAAGCATATTTTTGGCACGTGACAGTGATTCTGGTGTTTGATTGGTCAATGGTGGAAGCTTATTGGTTTATTGCAGTCACGTGTCAAAAAAATATGCTTCACCTCCCATCCAGAATCCAAAACTATCATTAATGCCATAAAAATCAGTTTTCAATTATACAATCAACAATCGATTTAAAATATAAACTGTCTGAAAATCATTTCGTGCCATACCTGGAGTTCACACAGAAATGACAAATATCATTACTGGTCACAATACTGCGATTACAAAGAAGACACTTAGTTCTTCGAAGACTTTCGTAGGGAGGCGGTGAAGGCATACTATTCTTACTGTCGTACCAAACTACATCCTGCGCGGAATGTCCACTACCCTTCAAGTTCTCCTCAAAATCAGCGTTGACCACGTAGTCAGGCATGCAGTTAGCACAGTATTCTATATCAGAAAGTTCCAGAACGCAGCTACACGTGGTACAGTACCTGGTACAGTCATGACAGTACTTCATGTCGTCTTCTCTGAAGTTTTCACATAAGGCACACCGGTGGTACAGCGCGCTGAGTTGCCCTTCCGTTAATTGCGTTGCAGGGATTCGTCGTGTTATTCTTTTTGCTTTAGTCCTGGCCGTGTGGTATCGTATCTGGGCTAGTTCCCTTTGGGTTGCGCTAGAATCTTCGTGTAACAAAATAAATTTGTAGAAATTAGTGGCATCAACGGCGAAGTCTAACGCTTTGGTGTATTCTTTGATCACCAAACATTTCTTAGCTTCAAAATACTGGCTATCAGCTTGTTTCATGCAATCATTGATAAACTTTTTCTTATGAAACTTGTCTCCATCTTTGAGACCGAGCATACTCAGCCCTGCAGTTACCTTCTCCTCCACACCTGAAACCATGTGGTCCAAAAAGTTCCTGTGAGGATCCCCTGAGAATCCCGGTGAAGTTCCTAGTCCCTCAGCACTTTCTTGTCTGATTATATCAGTCTTGATGCGCCTTTGTTTGGTCTCTATTGGTGATGCTGGAGCAAAACATGCCAGACGGTTTTTCAATCTGTATTTCTCTTTGTGGCCCTTCATATCTTTGTATGCTTTAGACAAAGCTGACTTTTTTCCACCGCTTATTGAGACTATTTTCTCAGGACAAGGGTTTACGTAAAGTAGAACTAGCGGTTGGTACTTTCCTTTCACCAACATGGTTTTTACTGATTCCCAATCTGGACCTACTTCTTTGACACACGCATCATCGTACAGTAACCATTTCTTAACTCCAGAGTGGAAGAAGAATGTAAAATAGTGCATTCCATAGTACACCATGATGCCCACTAACCTGAACAAATTGCTCCGGTTAGAGGCCACATTTACAAACAGCTCATCCAAATCAAGCTCCAGTTCAATACAATCTGTCAACTTCTTGATGAGCAAGGTATCGACCTGAGTGTTGGGCCAAGCCAAGCCAACACAGAAAACATCAGGTTTCTCCAAGAGAGACACCTCAAGTTTAGCTGGACCTGCACATTTCTTTCCCTCTGAAGCAGGACATGGTTTAATGCTGGAGGTTGCTTCTTGGAGTAAAGTGGCGAATGTAAGAGACCGATCTGCGTTGTGTCTGTCAGTGATGCAAGAAACAGAAGTATAGAAAATGTACTGATCGAATGTGAGTGGTTCAGAGGAAGCACTGCACACGCAGCTGTCCTGTTCAACAAGAGTCATAGAGAATAAACGGTGTGATACACACCTCTCCGCAATACACAAACTATCTGAACTAGAGTCTGACAGTGAGACGTGTAGGTTGTGAAGTATCCCCTCAAAGCACTCAGCTGCATCCTCCATGAATCCTATCTGAAACCTATTGTCACTCTGGTAGGATTTAGCCAGCGCATTCCGCAGCACGTCAGGTGTAACCGGACCTTGTTCGTGAAACTGGTAGTTAGCAGCGAGAGTTAGTAGACTGCAGAATATACACGAGTCCGAACACTCGTGCTGGTCTATGAGAACGAAGGAAGCTCTGAAAGGGTCAAGGTTCCAGATGGCTTGGACAGAACAGTTAAGAAAGCAGTTGTTGGCACCGGACGCGTTGGTGATACCTCTGATTGCTGCTTGCTCACTGTTAACTGACGATACGGGTGATTGGCAGCGCACCAGTATCCTCTCCTGTGTCATATTACATTCACTAGCTAAGCAATGTCATTTGTATTAGTTTTATTTCTAGCACCAGTTTAGAATATCAGCAGCTTGAAAAGTAGTCACTGGTTTTTAGATATCTGAAAGGTTTTGCTTTTTAACTAACCTTGCATAAGTGTTGGGGTCCTGAGAGTTCAGCGGAGGCGTGCTTTATGTTGCAGTTCCCACATACCTTGGTAGACATTCTGTTCATACTTTTGATAGGTAGGTTTAGGAGCTATGAGGAGTAATACTGAAAAGGTCGATAGTTAATGATAGTCTATGAGCTAGTTTGAGAGAAATATTGCAACATAAATTTTTAGTTTAGTGCTTAGAACCACTGTTGTAATCTAATATTATTGGAAGCAGGTAAAGAGCATTGACAAACATTAATTTCAAATTTTCAAAATACATAAAATCATCAAAGATAATTAGAAAAATAAGCTTTTCTCAGCTTGAAGAGCTAAAAGATGACATTTATAGAATAATCAGTGGCAAATATGCAAATAGTATCTTGGATAAGATAAAACGTCAACATGAATAACAATTTTTCGGACGGTATTTCGCAATTAAATGTTTGATAATATAAAATTTTAGCATAAATAAGCTTTAATTCATTAAGAGGTTAAAACGAGGCCAAAAAAAATAATCCAACCAATGCTATTTGTTACTCAAACACTATTCTCGTTTCAATTTGAATTTTTGCAACAGTCGTTTCCCAGCTGCAGTCGAAAAAACATTATAACAGGTCGACCCGGATAGAAACAGAACTGAGAAAAGAAGGACCCAATCAAAAGAATGCAGAAGCTCCACTCCCTCATGGTCAGATTCTTGTAATTCCAGAGGGAAAGAAGGCGTCAAATCAGTGATATTAACCACATAACCTGCCATAGCTGTGATATTAGTCAGGGTAACGGGCATCTTCTGAATAGGACGAGAGTTGAAGAAGAGCATGACAGTAGGGGTGCCCACAGCACCGAACTGTATACATGAGCTGGAGTAGGGGGTTATCTTAACCGCCAGAACAGCTAGCTGAGGGAACACTCTAGCTAAACCCTTGTAAGCAGGGAGGATATTCACACTGAACCTACAGTAAGGACTGTAGAATAGGACTAGCCCGCACCCTGTTGTTTTGTTCATTTCCTTTATCAGGGCACTTTCTAACACATAGTCTACAGTGGAAGAGGACTCGTTACATGGCAGGCATTTGTACTTCTTAACCTGCTCGCTGTCCTTCAATCCTTTCTTCATCACAAAGTGAGTGTCGTTGTCTACTTCCTCGAATAGAAACGCCAGAGTTCGTTTGACTGGCATGTAGAAATATTTGAAGATGAGAGTTTGCAACCCGATAAAGTTCCGTTTCTTGGGTGTACCGAGAATACCCCTGTTTTTGTCACTGTCGGAGACAGTGGTACTATCTGATTCAGCATCTGAATCTTCCTCGCCAATCAGACACTTGCCACCCAGTAATATATCGAGGGGGTTAGGGACGGGACACTGCAGTTCTGGTGATTCAACTTGTTGGTGTGAATCAGTGTCTTCTGTGGAGTGGACGTGTTGGCACAGTACCAGACAGGTGAGAAAGAGAATGAGGACTTTACTCATTATTCTGGGAAAAGTTGGATATCACGTGATGTCACATCATTGTTGTTCACATTTAACTTCTGGCAGCTACCTGAACAGTGAGATTGCAGTGCAGAAAACTGACAACGTTATTTCAAATGATCAGTTATAGTATTTATAACACGCAATAAACAGTTAAACAGAGCTATTTAAAGATATGATTAATCTCTTTCTTACATTATATTTATAATGCATGTTTTCGGGGCTGTTCAATTTGAGATTGCTAACAAAATTCGTACATTGTCATTATCATTTTTGGTGAGGATATGTTCGGTTAGAATTTTTCTAGATTATGTGCCTGGTGGATCTTTGAATGGAAATAAAAATTGTGGTTAAGTTCGGTCAATTACCACGTGTGAGTTACCACGTGTCAATTATTTTCCATGATGTTATTGTGGCTGTTAAATAAGATATTGTTGTCGTGATACTGTTAAAAAACGTTAAGTCATTATAAAACAATCGCGGTATTTTTAGGAACACCCTAGCATGTAATACAGGGTGGTCCAGAAGTAACTGCACACACGGCAATCCTTGAATAAATCTTGAAATCAGTTTCAGAATTAAACAAACATTTCATGGATTACAGATATCATATCGCAGTACCTCTGTTAGTGGATAATCTTTTCGGAATAACTACATAAGCCCCTAAATCAATTTACTTTTCCCGTATGAGATCGATTGTTATGGTAATGAGAATAAATACTTTTGTACACTGATTAGTGATTACTTATCTTAAACAAATTTAATCATAGCTCGAAGGGTTCTCGTTTTATGAGGAAAATAGTGCAAGAGACGGAGGTAAACCTACTGTAATCGACGAAATTTTACGAAACTTTCAGCAAATCTAAGTTTGACCCATGTCTGTAATCCCTGAAATGTTTGTACAGTTCTAAAACGGATTTCAAGAGTTATTCAAGTGTTCTGTAATATTTCGGGGAAGCATGCGCACCATGGTATACCGAGCACAGCTGACAATCATCAACTTGTCTGGCAAATCAGAATATTAGAAAATAGGGATCTCGCATTAAATAGACAAATAAGTTGACTAAAAATAATAAATTAATAATTCTTATAACACGATTACACTCGTAATAATCTTAAAACAAATCGTCAGATAATGCACATTAAAAGAATTCACTCATAATATGATCAAAATTGAAACCCCACAAAACAATAAAAGTTAAAAAGGTACCAATAAAATCTCCCGGACAGAAGAAGAAAAGCCACAAATCTAAGTTTTGCCCTGATACTTGATATTCTGTTTGTAATGATTCTGCAATTGTAAAAACAGCTGCCTGGCAGGCTGAGACAGCCTTGCCTGGAGATACTGCAGACCCTGCACAACACAAACATCAAATAAAGGGTGAACAGCTGGGGTGATATCCCTCACTAGGGCTGGGTTACTCTTGCTAACATACTCGAATATACTGCACAGAATGTAGGGCACGTGATGTCGCGCCACTTCTTTCTGTTTGGACAGCAGCTCACTGGCGCGCACAATGTTGGAGATAGTCTGAGGTGCGGTGATATATCCCTCGTTAGCAAGCACTTTTAGTATGGAGTCGTAGATATTGTTGAGGAGGTGGATGGGGTAGTTGTGCTGAACCAGACACAGCAGACATTTTGAGAGGAGATAAGGGTCGTCACAGCCGTGTTTAAATGAGTTCATAACTTGAACTTTGGTCAGTTTGTTGATGAACTTGGGAATAAGTGACACTGGGATAATAGGGGCGGATATTGTTTCCACCAGGGCAGGATCAAACTTGGTGTGGTGAAGGAGAAACTCGGCGTTTTTGTTTGGTAGACTAGCTATTAACTTTTCTATGAAGCTGTCGCTGGATGTTTTTAAATCGACCTTCTTTTCGTCCAGAAGATACAAGTCTTCATTGCAATCAAGTAGTGCTTCGGTGAATACAGCAACCTTATCTTGACTAACGTTATCTAGAAGGTTCTGAGTCAGCTTCAATTTATATTCCAATCCTAGTAGAGGAGATTTTAAAAGGGATAATGCAATCTCGAAACAAACATCCGAAATATTATCGAGAGTGAGCTCGACTTTGTCGCTGAAATAACTTTCAAGGTCATGGATTGTGCATAGCAATTCACACTGAGCAATGACATTTGACATAGGCTTAGAAACGAGGTTTTCAGAATTGATAAGAATCCCTTTGATATGACCCCTCAGATTCAATAAGTCTTCATGATATCTGGAAGCTGATGCTTTGTGGATACACATCTCCTTAACAAACATCCAATAACATCAGAATGTTGCACCTGGTGAGTTCCAAGATATTCTACCACAGCACTAAGATCAGCGCTACTCATCGAAACACCTACACCCAGATATATCTCAATAAACTCACTAGTTCCCCCAGCAGAGAATGATAATATCTCGGATAGTATCTGCCCAGCTAGTTTACCGTGAACAACTGGTAGAGGGGTGTGCGGGGGAGGCGGTTTACAAAACCGACCAAGATACGACACGACACCACCCGACAAAAGACACCCTATATCCAGTTTATCCTTATTTAGAGACATCTGACGGAATAATATCCATGTTGTAATGAGAAGCCTGTGGTAGGATGAGTTTAGGGATAGCTGAGAGAGCAGATAAAGTAGGTCAACGTGGTTTTCCAGAGGTACCCCTGGTCCAGATAACGAAAGTTCTGATTTGATAACATCTCGAGCTGAACTCAGAGTAATATCTACCAACGGTTCCGAATAGTACTTCTCCTCAATTGCTCCCATGTCCCGCATAACACAAGATATTATCGCAGAATGAAGATCTGTACATCTGTTGAACACCTCACTCTCGATAAACCAGCTGTGTTCTCTTATCGTTGATAAGAGGAACTCAGCCACGGTCATCAGGTGGTCTGTTATCATGTTGTTGTAGATGATAAGAAAATTAGATAAGATAACGTCCGGGTATGTACTGATGGTGGAGAGTATGGTGTCTAGTTTGTCGGTGGGGTTGTCGCTGTAGTGTAAACTTTTAATAAGAAGCTGAACTTCTTCTTCGTTTGAAGGGGGTGTCTCAGACACCTGAAATGGATTAGATTTACATTTTACATTCATTAATCTCGAATAACGGAACAATGTAACTATCTAATTACCTACAATTAAAATAAAAATGTATGACATTTATCAGTATTCAGTAATGAATTTACATTTTACCGTAATCAATTATCAAACTGACCTCGAAAGGATGGAAGGAAGAGATTTTATCAAAGAGAACAGCGGAGTTGAAAAATAGTCGGAGTGTTTTTCCAGTAGACGGGGGCAGATTCTTAGTTATCTGAATAGAAGTTGAATATAAATAAATTTGTATCGCTACAGCCAATGAAAGTGATCAAAGGACATTATATATATATAGTCCAGTCATATATGGACATTTATGGAAATGAACCTGCAAATATATAAGTTACAATTGATTATTAAATTGATTGGTTAGTTCTAATTTGGTGCATTATAACACGACGTAATAACTTACATTGTAAAGCTTAATGACGACATCATCAGGGATATGAACCCTACACTGACTAATAAGAACAGAGGTACAGTCTGCAATAAACCCGCAGAGCCTCTCATCTGATACTCTCGGACGCTTGGAAGTATCACGTGATTCCGTTATTTCATATGATCCCAAGTCTGTGGGCTCACTGTTAGATACCGATAAGTTTTCTTCTAATGTTGAAGATAGTAGAGTAAGAAGGGCGAGGAGTTGCTGCTCAGAAAGCTTATTACTTGCCTCAGATAACTGAGACCTGGAAATACACTGATTCAACTGAGTTTAATTATAATTAAACTAATTAATTATATAAATATAATTAATTAAAATCTACGAATACCAAAAGTAGTTGAAAATTAGATGATTTGATCATAGAGATTAAAATTTGCTCTCGTTACCTGAATTCCTTTCCTAATGAAACACGAGGATTGAACCTAAGTACGATTTGTTGAAAAAGAAGGAGAAGTTTGCCAGTTTTATGGTAAGTCAGAGCAAGTTCAGCTAACAGCAAGTCATTGCAATGTAGGAGAGCTTGTTCCAATGTAACGACACTATAGTTGAGTGGTAAGATAGCGATTGCAACACTACAATACTCCTCTCCAACCAGGGAGGAGAGAAGGGAGGTGAAGTGGGCTGATACCTCGTAACCCTGCTCCCTGTCCTCCTCTATCTGATATATCCTGAAGTTGAACAACTTTTACTTTTTTATAACTTGACTAAGCTTTTTATACGATAAGTATATACCTAATTTCTTATTTTTAAAGGCAATATCTGCAAGATAAGGTTTCTCGACTTACTATTTGACTTCATACACAATATACATGTTATACAACATACTCTTAGTCGACCTAGCCTACTAGTACTTATTTGGTCGTTTAATAGTGGATAAAATTTGGCTAACTAAGACGTAATGTGAAATTCTAACTTTAGGGTTTCTCGAACTACAGTACGTGTCGAACTAGACTATCGAGTACTAGATTGCGTGTACCAAGCTGTCTAAGATGTACTCATGGAAAAACGCATTTATGACGTGCTTTTTGTGAGGTTAACGACTAGTCAGAGTAGTCACGTCCAATTAACATATTCTATAGATTATGACAGTTGCACAGTGTCCTATTGTTCACCATTACCTGGTCACTAAAGGTGCAGTCACGCGGTAATAATTTTAAGCAGGTTTACTTTTTAATGCTTAAACGAACTGTCTATTGCCAATATCTGAATTTGTGTTGTAGTTCACTGACCTGTATTTCCGTATGACTCCAAGCAGGGCCACGTTTTTCAGAACATCAAGATCACATACTTCAGTGAACCATCTCAGCAACATTTTGTTGCTTTTCTTAGACTTCTTTCCGCTGCACAGTATCTAGATACACCGATAGGTTAGTCAGAGTTACTACGGGTAGTTTAGGCAGTTTATTATTAACAATTATTCATAATAAGACCAAATATGATCATTTTAATATGCGAGAAATTCTATACAAATTGATCATTCCAGTCAAGGAAAAACAAAACCTGAAAACTACTGGCTTTTTAAAACGTAAACTCGGAAATCACCTCAAACAGCGTGCAAGTTTGTGCTAACTCAAGAGACTTGGACTGCTGGACGAGCACAGAAGTAAAGTTGGACATTTTGGCAGTAAGATAAGCTTCCAGTAATGACAAAGCTTCTTTGTTCAGCACAATATCATCAAGAACCGCCCTAGCATCAGGATCGTTGTGTTTCTCAAGGAGATACGGTAAGATATTCTCAACCACTGATACATACACCCGCTTTTTGTTCTTCTCGTACACAACCCTCTTGTAAAGATACTGCAGTGATTCCCGGACAAACTTCAAGTCCTCACTGTGATGTACCACCATCACCTTTACCGCCTGAATCTGAGTAAATTGTGCTGTTAGTTATGATACGTCGTGATGATTTAACGTAATTTTAAGAAACGAAAATAGGACGATCCAAATAACAGGCAACCCCCTAATATAGTACAGAGTGTCCCAGTAGTTATTATGAAGGAGCGGTGGTTGCTACGTTTGGGGTGGTGACCACAACTTACGTAAGCAGGGAGGTTGAGTCTGATGTAAGATGGGGTAAAAGGATGAGACATGAGAGATCTCCACGCGGTGGAAGAGGGTTCTTCTGCTCTCGTTATCGTCTGGGAATTTATAATCATTAAATATAACTTAACAATACAAACAGCTACAAAGAGCAGTCTAGGTATTGAATACTTAAAAAGTGTCAGTAATTCAACAGATTAAAATCTACGATTCCGAAATCCGAAACTGACCTGAAATACATTGGGAATATCAAAAATGTCGTCAACTTTCATAGTTTTGAGTTTTTCCAACACCAATTGGTCTTTTGTGCAGTCTTTTCTACCAATCATAATCAGATCTACACTGGAAGAGAACTCATACATTACAAATCCTCTATATTTTAGGGAATATTAACTGAAATTGTGTCGCAAACTTTGTTATTTATTATATTGATATTTTTATTCGACTCGTTACCAGTTAATCATAATAACAAGAGAGAATGCAATGAAACACAATTTTGCGATCAAAACAAAAATTTTATAGATCCAAAGTTATCAAAAGTAAACAAAACATGACATACAAAATTAAAATGTTCCTAAATCCTAAGGAACCGGGGAATTCCTGGTGGATCCTATATCACATTCCATGCACCACTTAATTGTATTAAGATTAAAATTGCCATTCAAGAAAAATGTAAATACGTATTTATATACATTTGATTTAACATCAGGTAAATACATCAACTCTGAACATGTGCAGTTAAACTTTAAAATAAGTTGACATTCTTTAAAAATTAGCATAACTGTACCATGCGTATCATATTCTGCAGTGAAATTGTCTATTATATTAATATTATCATTACATTAATTACAAGGTTTACTTCTGAATTTTCTGGCCTGATTTGAGTGTCCTAAACAGTTCTATTTCCTTACAGAAGTCTATTCGAATCGTTCAATAATCTAATTCTAAATCTAATTGCCAATTCTTGACAATCGTGGCATAATAATAATAAAATGCATACATATTACATAAGTTACAGAAAATTCAATATCTGAACTTTCCTTAAAACAAGCTTTATAAACACATTAACTGGGACCTCAATATAAATGAAACATATTTATAGGTTGTTTTAATAATAAAATATTGAATATTCGAGGAGGAGTAATTAATTTATTGGCAACACTCTGACTTTATTTATTAATATTTATTACTCTAGTGCGTGTCAACGTGTCATCTGTATAATATTTTCCGATAAATTTTGATTGTTCGATAATTCTCCCCTCCTCAATTTTATAAAATATCAATTAAACTTTAATCATATCGCTCAACTTGTGTCATTGTTGATCATTGCAAGATTAAAATAACTTGCAGCGGTGCCAACTATCATGGTCTATGACCTGTAAACCAGAGAGACATTTGGCAAAACAAAGCTTGACATATTTATTTTTGATGTTTATGTAAACAATTTGGCTTGCTTTTTGCTTTGGCTAAAACATATCTACTTTAAAAGTGTCAATATTTCCTCATTTGTTGTTTGATTTCAGTTATGTACGGCCCATAGAGAACATATAACACGCATTGGCTACAGTATAAGCCTGCACGATCGAATCTAGTATGACCCATCGAACTTGGCATGGGGCTGAGACACACCAAAATTCAACAGGCAAGGGTTTGCGGAATGTGGACGATGTGTTTAGAAGACTGATAGAAATCACTGACCAGGAAGCTTATGTCAAAAGTGAACTCATCATGGACTGGATTTCAAAAGCTCAACCAAAACAACACCAAGTGGACCAGGTAGAATATTTTATTTATTTTACATTCCATATCTCATTTTTACAATCAAGAGTCATGGATCTCAGTCAAGAGACAAGAATTCGTTATTTATGTGTTCTACTTTTTCATCATAATTTAATGCCCCCTGAACCATAAGGTATTCTCTGAGATAGCAGTGGAGTACCTCAATAACAGCTATGCAACCTTCCTTGGTGACGTTATAAATAGCTATGGATATAAGATTTCCGACTCATACGATCCAGGGATGGCATCCAGTTTCTACAACAGCAACATGATAGAATTACCAAAAGATAAGGTCAGTAAGATACAAATGTTTTGCTTAGTTAGGCTCACCCAGGCTTGTTTAAAATTTCATAGCATGAATCTTGTGATAATAGCAAACCAGTTAAGTGTACCTGTTCTGAATTAGCACTTCATAGCTTCTAAAATAACACGTGCAGATATCATGGCCCTCATTCCCTGCTGCATCACATGTATTTCTTTAAATATTAAATCTACATGATGCATTTAATTAACTTACTCTTCTCATGAACTAAAAACACTGTTATTTAAAAAATGGAATTTTGGTTACAGGACCTCGTAATAATGTAATGATATTCCCAGGTAGATCAGCTACAAGACAAAGGCTACCATGAGTTTGATTATAGTAATAATATCAAATGTCCAGTGACATACTGTCCCTGTTTCAACCAATACACCATCCTGACACTCACCCCTGAAATGGGTGATAAACCTGGATCAAGGAATGCAGTGATGATTCATCCATTTTCAAAATTGGAACACAAGATCGACTATTGGTATTGTGGAGTTATGACAAATTCAAAATGGATGCATGTCTCATTTTTGAACAACAGTAAAGGAAGAGTTTGTAAAGCAATGAGGAAATCACAAAATATTTGGGTTGGATTCCTTATAAAGAAAAGGCATTTCATAGACTTATCAGAATATTGGAAACTCTATGATGCACAGCACATTTTGGAAATTGGGAAACGAAATGAGATGCCTAGGCAAATTCAGCTAGATTTATTGATAACATGGCTTCAGTTTCATAAACCAGAAAAGGATATCATGCAGAAGTTGTGGGACGTTATGAGGAAGTTAGATGGTAACTTTCACTACATGAAAACAATCGAGGATTGTCTGAAAGACTCTGGTTACAATATCATCAACAAAATCATCAAACATGCTGAGGCAGAAAACATAATTTGGGTGAAACTCTCAAAAGGAAAGCAGCAAAAGTTAGCAAAATCTGGAAACATCCGGTTGGAATGTAAGATGAAAGGTAAAGGAGCAGAAACATTGAACTCGAAAATGAAGACGAATTTATGTGAGATTACAATCAGGTTGACTGATTCTGTGCCAGCATTAGAGGCTGATGGATATCTAATCCAAACAAATGGCAGTAGAGAATTTGAAATAAGACATTGCTTTGGACTATCAAAAACACGGAAAGTAATGAAATTTGTATCATTCTATTTGCACAGCAGAACAGAATTGATGAAGATATGGGGAATATCTGACAAAACCTGGATAGGTTTTACTCTGTAGCTACATCTCTGTGTTTTTTCAATTACACCTGCAAGATTTGGATATTTTAAATTTCAATCAAGAACAAGTTTTATTAACAAATGACACAAAAAGAGCACACAAAGCATGTTATAGAATTACTAATTAAAATAATTCAATTTAACTAAACACATTTTCTCTTTAATAATTCTTTAGTTAATTTGTTTTTCATTATGTGAAGCCCATTTGTTAAAAATATCTTTATCCATAACTGATTTTGCAAATTTCTGTCTGTCAGATACAGATTTCCATTCTTCGAGCCATTTTAAAATGATTAATTCATTCAGATCATCAGAATTTAGCCCAGCAACTTTTTCAAGAAGATAAGCAAGAACAATTCTTTTTGCTCCAAAAGCATCTCCTTTGTTCCAGCTGATGGCCGTGTCTCTTTGTTTAATTCCAAATTCAAGTATAAATTTAATTGTAGATGTTTTCTGGCATATCAATGATGCAACAATGTTCTTGCATTCTGACTGGATTTCTTTATCTGAAGAAGTAGATTGATACATCCACGTGGGATGCTCCAAGGCGTAGCAACATGTTTTAATGATATCAACAGTGGACCAGTAACTGAGTTCTTTCAAATCAAAAACCTGTCATCATTTTAAGCGTGCTTAATGCGTATTGCTGATCTGTCATTTCAAGGACTCCAGGAAACATTCCAAGATCTAAGAGCATTAAAAACTCTTTGTGGTTGTTTTCAGCCATGTTGTAAATCAGGCTGGGAACGGAATAGAGTGACTCTTTTAGACTTGTGCGTAGAATTGGGCAGGCTAGAATTTGGCCAATTCGCAGTCTAGATGCTTTAGCATCACATGACTGTCTTAGAAGGCCAATTCCATCATGACATTCTCCAGCTGTCAAGTTAGCAGTGGAACATGATGTATATACTAGCAGTTGTATCATGAGAAATCCCAACCATTCACCGCTAGTATCACGATGGGAATTAAACTTAACTTCAAAGGCTTTCTCATCATAGCTATTATTAAACAATGGACGCCCATTAGGATGCCTTATTTTCAAACCATAAAAGGTGAGTGACTGCATATCACCTAAAAGGAGGAACTGTGGAAGACCAGGACAAGCCCACAAATGCTTTAGAATAGCTTCAGAGCATGTTGTTGACAAGAACAATGCTCTTATACTTTCCTTAAACTCACATCCAACATCATTGAGTGTCTTTCCAAGGGCACTTCTTTTATTTTGTGGCTTCATGCCTTGTTTCATAGCAAGATGCTGGAAGCGTACCAAAACTGCTGCAGTATTATGATCAAAATTTTCAAGGCTTGTCATTGATGTCAAAAGCAGCTGATAACACTGTTCTAAAGAGTAGTCATTGATAGCTTCAAAATCTGGCTCATTACATAGTAGATCATGGATGGGTAAATGTAGACTTAGCGTTTCAGAATTTGAATACCAAGCACACTTGCACTTTGAGCAGTTGATAAGACTATCACTGGTTTCTAAGGTGACATAACACAATGGCTGACGAAGAATATCAAAATACTCCATGTTGCTAGTAACAAAATGATTTTAATAATATCCAGTAAAGTTGGTAAAATATGACAACATCAGTCAAAAATTATTATTTTGAATATTTGTTTAAAATCATCAACATATTTTAAAATTTAAACATTGGTATATACTTACAAATACAGCTGAAGGGACAATGTGTTAACTATTATATTAAGGGATAATAATTGAATTAAATGGAATAATGATAATAAGATGTTTTTTGAAAAAGGAAAATGAAACCGAAGTTCAAAAGACTACGAGTGTAATTGATGTTACTGTTAGTATATTCCAGATCTTTTGGCAGGGTCTCTCATCAGTCATCATTTCACCCTAAACTACAGATTTCACGATCTTTTGGCTGTGAACAAAATTTCATAGATGCGCATCCTCTAAGATCAACATAACAAGCAGGTCTCGAACATATAATCTTCCTATTGCAACCACATTCAAGCAACCACTGGACCAAATACAATGCTTTGCTAGGTCAAGCAGTACTATGTAGAGCTTTCTAGGAGATCAGCTATGGCAGGTGCTACTACAAAAAATACAAAATACTAATCAAAAGTTTGTCCATCAGAAAACAGTATCAGTAAAGTAAAGTAAAGTAAAATTTATGACATCACATCATCACATATGTCTACAAAATATCATCACACTGTGTGAAAAAATATATAATAAATATTTCCCCACCAACATTAATTATTTATCAAATACAATATCTAAAAACAATTTTATCAAAAACATTATCCTTTTTTAAAGACTTCCCAGTGGAATAAAGATTTATAAAACGCTTCTTTGCCACATAAGGATGGAACCAAAGGTAATTGTTAAGTTTCTCTTTGTTACTGACATAACTGGCTCCTTCAATTCTTACTAAAACTTCATTAGAAACATTCCAAAAAAAGCAATCATTTGAAATACTATACTTTTAGAAATCATATCTTTCTTAAATCCTTCTAATTTAATTTTAAAACCTAAAACTGTCACAGAGTTCTTGACGTCCGGAGGGAGTTTGTTCCAATATGGAATAACTCGCTCCGGGAGAAAAGACTTCTGAATATTCTTGACCTTGTCACACTTTTACTACATCTATTGGATGAAACCAGATTAAGACCTGATCTGCTTGGTCTGAACAAGTCTGAACCATAATCAGTCAAACCATTAATTACCTTAAAAGCTTCAATGAGGTCCCCACGTATTCGCCGCTCTGCCAGCGTTGTCAAATTGAGGATTTCCAGTCTACAGCTGTAAGGAAGAGTACCCACCTCATCAATCAGACGGGTAAACCGCCTCTGGACGCTCTCCGGCTCCAAAACAATCCCCCAACTTCCATGAGCCGCACTCAAAACCATATCGATTCACTCAAAACCATATTGGTTTCCTACACTCACATTTCACAACTGTAGCTAGTAAAGCTCTTGAAGCAAGGGAAAGATTTAAGCAAAGCTCAACTTCTAGAAACAAGGCCATATTAACTAAAAGCAACAGATCATTCTGAAAAGCATCAATTAGGGAAAATTATGGATGGATTGTTGTATGCACAGGTAAATGTTTGAAGATTTCTTCTTATTCGACTTTAACACTTTAAGAAGGAAAAGAATGAAGAACTTTCTGAGTAACTCTAGATGAAGATCAAAAAGGTTTGATTGGATGAAGATCAATAAATGGTATCGAATTGTAATTTCAAACTTCAATGTTGAAAAGATATCATTCATTAAAATCAAAAGAATTTTCCAAACAATAATAAATATATAATTTTTTGAAATAAAATGTTTCAAACAGTATACACATAATGTCACAATGACCCTATATAATATAAAAACAACCCTTCAAAAACTCAATATTATGAAAATCACCCCGCACCAGGAACCCGAAAAAGACGCCAATACTGCCTGTCACCCCATCAGGACTACCAACTCAACAGACATAATACAGATCAACCATCATTATGCAGATTTCACGATCTGTTGTACGAGCATGGAACACTAGTGATTACTGTTTCCAGTACGTTGTGAGTGTGAGTGGGAGGACTGTTTGAGTATGAATGTGTCTTTTGTGGACTCGAATACTGATATCGCAGTTTAGTGATCATTGAAGTTGCCTTTTACTACTTCCTTTTATGTAGATGAAAAATTATTCAAACAATATACACATAAGAGTATTATACCCAACATTGACCGGCGAACTGATAGCTACTTCAGAAGCAATGAAACTACAATCTTCTAGATAAAATGAGTCATAGTACTTTCAGCCGGAGCCATCATAAGTGACATAAATCTAAAAGATAGTATGGTTAGTTTCTAAATATAAACTCAAACTCTGAAAAGGAAACTGCCGTGAAATATGAAACATCAATAAAAGGACCAATTATTTAAAAAAATAATTTATGGAAAGCCCCTCAGGCAAAATAAAAATCAATTATGCAATAAAGGAATCTTAAAAGGGTTTGTACTATTCATTCCTGAGGGGCGGAGGGAATTTAAGGCATGTATATATCGGTGCTCCTTAACATCTAAACTACTAGGACTTGAATTTTCTAGGATACACACTGAAACACTATTGTTAAAATATACACATAATATAACAATTACCCTATATAAAATTCAATATAAATTCAATAGAAAACCCTTGAACACCCTTTAAGTAGTATAAGAAAGCCAGTTTAAAGAACTGGCTCCAAATTTATATCTAATTCTGCTATTTTTAGTGCACTACTTCCTTTTATGTTAAATTATTATTTCAGCAATTATTTCTATTTCGGTTGTTTGTACGGGAGTTAAATTTTAAGTGATTTTGTTTTAAATTTTCATGATTCTTGAAATTCGAATTCTACTTACTCTAGATATGTTATTCATTCATGTATAGTCGAGACGATGGTGTTAGTGCCATCTCCGACAACTTAACGTTTAATTCCGTTTAATTCCCTTGGCCTTGCGGCTCCAAGTTTAAAATTAAACTGTCTATATTGACAAAGTTCTTTCTCGCCCTTCTATCTCCCCGGAGAGAAATTACCGTCGTTCTTAAGATTAATCAATAATTTGGTCCACATTCAATAATATAGTTTATCGTAAAAATTTTTGTAAACCTATTTTAATAATAATAATAATTCTATACTGTTACATAATTTAAAAATTATGGCCCCTTATTGTGGGCAGAGTATGTGTCTTTATTTAAGTGTCCTGATTTAAAAATCATCTGAGTGACTGCATTGAAATAATTTAAGGAGAGTACCATAAAAACGTTAAAACAAAAGGAGTAACAACTAGAACATACTTATATTAATATCAACATTAGAACAAAATACAGTCACCTAATTCTCTTCTCCTACGGTTGAGTATAGAGGAACCATCTTTGGCGTGTATTAGGGACTTAGACCATTACAAATACCCTGCTGTAAGTTTGCAAGGTATGTGGACTAAGTGGGTCGAGAGTACTCGACTTGGAAGTGGGTGTTGAGAATTCTCAACTTAACTAGAAGATAATGATGTCCAGAAGATGAGGCAGTAGATGGAGTAGTAAAGGAGTAGTAGAGGCTGAAGGGGGAGTGATGTCATAAGGAGATGTAGGACATGAAGGGGGATGGAGGTGAAGGAGCACTAATAAGTATAAGTATCAATTCTATGATAGTTCATCGATGGCGATCTGTGCTAAAGATCGGAAGGCAGTGATGCTGCCATCACTACCATCTCTTAAGATAGACCAGCATGGTTGGTCACTAGTGGAGTGCTCTTGAATGGTTTCTCTGTAGGAACAGCGGTACAGTGGACAAGAGAAGATTCGATGGTAATTGTTGTCCAACATCTGACAATTCGGACACTGAGGGTCGCAGTTGTTGGCAACCCTTGCCTTGAACGCTGTGAAGGTGATGTCATGGCCATGCAAGAGAGACATTACTTTAGTGTCTGTGCTCCTGCTTGAGTAGCGAGGAAACAACTTTTTGCTCCTCTCATCGATGTTATCCAGTATCTCACCCGGATTTATTCTAGGGTTCAGTAGGAGATGTTTATTCCAAGTGAAGTCCATAAAGCGGGTTATTTCGTCTTTTGAATAGCTGACAACACCGTTGTGGACACTAGTCAGAAGGTCTATTCTGCTTCTGTTGAGCTCGTTGGACCCCCTTGTCCACGTTAGGAACTTACGTATCTCATCAATATGGTGCTGATATCGATGGGCCTTTGCCTCCTCTAGCTGTAAGATGAGTCCTTGCATAAATGGGTCACTTGTAAGTGCTTTTATTATGAATTTTATAGTGATCATCTTGTAGGATATCTCAAGGGGTGGAATTCCAAGCGCGACAGATGTCAAATCTTTGGGAGGATGGTGAGTGGATCCACTTATTTTCAAGAGGACCCTGGCATAGAAGTCTTTGAAAGTGTCTAGGTTATCTTTTAGCCATATTGGAGCAGCATATAGAAGTTTTGTGAGTACTACTGTTTTGAAGAGCATTTTGAGTGAGCTTGCATTCAGGCCTCTGTGGCGGGTGGAGTTTTGAGTGATCATGTACCAGGCAAACCAGCATTGTTTCAATTTAAATTTTGCGTGACTCTTGAACGTAAGTTTGTCGTCTATCCTCAGTCCAAGTACAGTTGATTGACATGTATATGTTATGGGTCTACTGCCGATAATGAGTGGTCCAAAGGCTGTGACATCAGGTGCAGATGAGGATGTTGGTGTGATCATAATACACTCGGTCTTGTTTTTGTCGCAGTTTGGGATAAGTTTCCACTTACTGCACCAGACATGAAGGTACTTGCACATCAACTGCATAATTCGATGAGCACATATAGGATCTATGTGAGAGACTGCTATGCTTCCATCATCAGCATATTTGAAGAGGCTTGAGTTAGAGCTGCATTCCAGTGGGAGCTGGTCCTTGCATAACATATCCGAGATGTAGAGGATAAATAGCAGGGGTGCAAGGACAGAGCCTTGGGGAAGCCCAAACCATCCACATGAGCGTTGAAATCCGAGACTGTTGTTAACCCTCAGCCGTACTT